AGTTATCTGAAGATGCTAATGCTTTAAGGGAAGTATTTATAAAGTACTGTTCCAATTCCTTTCTGATAGCCACCGTTTGTGGTGACATTGGATGAAGTGGAGCTGATTCACTTTGAGCGGGTCCAGTTTCACCTGAAGAACTTTGATATGGTAATCGTCTATAAGGACTACAGCAAGAAAGTGACAATGATCAATGCCATTCCCGTAGCCTCACTTGACCCCATCAAAGAATGGTTGAAGTAAGTCTGTTACCAGTCTCACATTTATCCCAAGAAGCCTACATTAGAAACTATAGCTGTGCGGTGTGGTATATGAAATCTACCATCATATTTAAGGTGAACTGTCCCTGGGTTGAGTTGAAGACCAGGTTTGGAAAATTTGGGATCTGTTAGTCATAGAACTATTTACTTTTTCCCTGAACACTTAACAGTAGTTTATGTTCTATACTAAACGGTAGTTTCTTTGAGTCTATACTCAAAGAAAATCAAAGTCCAAAATTTTTTTTGTCTCTATTAAATAGATATACGCACACATATATATGTATAGAAGACATACACAAATATAACATGGGGCAAGTTTCTTAGACGTTCTCTGTTTTTACTGAAAAATTAAGTTTTCTTGTTTTTGACACATAACAGATATAAGAAGTATTTTACTTTTTTTCTCATGTTAAAAATCAGGTATCCGGTAATCAGTATCTTGCCACTTGGATACTGAGTTCTTTAGACTGGCTACAAGTCCTTTATCAAATACAGTTTTTGTATCTGTTTCCTTCAATAGTTTCATTGCTTTTTCATTTTCTTATGTGCCTTTAAAAGATCAGAAGTATAAAATATCCAAAAAATCTGTTCAATTCTTGTAATTGAGCTTTGTATGTCCTAGCTAGTAAATTTTAACTAAGCCAAAGTCATAAATATTTTTTCTTCTAAAGTTTTATATTTCTACGTCTTATATTTAGGTCTGTTATCCATTTCCAGTTAATATTTTTAACTGTGGTTAAGGGTCAGACAAATTGTTTTAGCATTTACTGAAGAGAAAAGATCATTTCTTACCAATCATTGAATTACCTTGCCGTATTTATTTAAAAAAAAAAAATCAGTTGACAATATAGGAAGTAGTCTATTTCTGGACTACCATTGGGGTATGTGTATCCTTAGGCTGATACCTTACTGTCTTGATTATTTGTCACTTAACAGTAAGTCTTGAAATCAGGTAGTATAAGTCTCCAGTTTTGTTCCATTTTAAAATTTTAGAATCAGTATCATTCAACAAAAGTGGTCAGTTTCATCAGAATTACAGCTCTAGTATATGTACAATTTGTGTTGATGTCCCTCTTCCTTCCCAGTGTTCATAACTGGTTTCCTCTTGTTGTTTAGTCTGCACAGATAATTTGTCATTTTAATTGAATTTTTTTTTCCCATCTTCATGAAATAATCTTCCTTACTCCTGGTAATTGTATTTGCTTTGGCAGTACATGTATTATTCCTGTTAATAGTCCTTGTTTTGAAATGTGTAAAATGGGATATTGTAGATTTCTAGTTTATTTTGGTTAGTGCTGCTTAGCATTTTCATAGTACATATTTTTTTCTGTCTTTTACTTTTTAATGTATTTTTGGTTTTCTTTTTTTGTTTCTATTATTTCTTGTTTAACTCTTGTTTAACATTTTATTAAAGTCACTTACTTACTTGGAGATAGCATTTATTTGCTTTTCACCTTTTAAAATTCATTCTGAAAAATTGACTGCCTTTTAATTGGATTACCATCCGAATTTAATTATCGATAAGTTTGGTTGAAATCCGACATCTTGCTATTTGTTTTCTCATCTGCTCTTTTTTTAAAAGATTTATTTTTTATGTATTTATGCATAGAAGAACTAGGGTTTAGGCCAGAGGTGTGGGGGTGAGAGGATTCACCAGAGACAGAATGAGGAGCAGAACAGGCAGACTGACTGAAATAAACTGCTCAGGGGAGCAGTGGGTGAGACAGGAGAGGTCTGCTGCACCATGTGGGTCACCTCCTTGGTAGGGGATCAAACTCATGCTGCAATGGCTGGTGATACCTTGATAGCGCTGAGACTTTAACCCTGTGCCCCCATCTGCTCTTTACTATTTTCCTCATCTTTTTATGCACTTTTGGATTAACTTTATGATTCTTTATTAAATAATCTTCATATTTGGCTTATTAACTATACCTCTTTTACTTTTATGGCTGCTCTCAGGTTTACATACACATCTTTAACTTACCAGTCCCCGGTCAGCAAATATATCACTATTGTTGGAAGATTCTTATGTTTGCATTTCCATTCTTCTGTCCTTTCTGCTATTAGTCATACATAATATGTTATGAATTCCACTGTCATTATTTTAGCTTTGATACAGTCAGTCCTCTTTTAACTTACAAAATGAAGTGAGGGATTTCTTCATCATTTTGTCATGTTTGTTTCAATCTTTTGCCAAAGACTTGAAGGGATCCTTCTGCAAATTTCCAGAGCTTTCTTTTTCCTTAGTACTCTTGCCCAGTTTCTGCCTTAGCCTCCCCTAATCATGTTCTGTTGATTTCTGTTCCTGTTGGTGTCTCCCTCTATGTTTAGCATCCTGGAAACTATCTTCAGGTAGAAAACTGGAGCGACTATAAAACAAAACCTTGTTTGTTTCCTTCTCTCAGGAATTATAGTCATGTGCTGCTTTTTATCCAGTGTTTGAAAATGGCTATTTCATATTTTGTTCTGTTTTCTATTTATTTAAACTGGAAAGGTAAATTTAGACCTTGTTACTCCATTGTGGCTAGAAGCAGAAGTTTCAGTGAATGTGATAATACCTGTAATAGATTTATGCCAGTTCTCAGGCAGGTTTAATGCTAAGCTTGTTATCGTCTTTGCTATTGTCATTTCTTTGATTTCTTTTCTTCCCTACCCACTTTATTTATTTTTATTTTTATTTATTTTTTATTTTTTTAAGTTTTTTTTTTTTTTTTAAGATTTATTTATTTATTTTAATTTATACAAGCACTGGGTACAGTCAGAAGCGCGGGAGGGTGAGAGAATTCACGAGAGCAGGGAGCAGAGCAGGCAGAGGGACCGAAGTACACTGCTGAGGGGAGCAGCGGGCGGCAGTCTGCGCGCCATGTGGGACCCTCCTACGGAGGCCAGGGAGCAGCCGGGGATCGAACTTGCGCTGCAGAGGCTGCGGGCAGCTTCGCAACCCAGTGCTCAACTGCTGCGCCACCGGGGAGGCCCTCCCTACCCACTTTAATTGATTCAGCTCTCCTCAACAGAAATGGATTTGAGCATCTTCCTAATACAGGGCACTTTAAGTACTTAAAAAAAAAAAAAAATTTCCTGCCATCAGATAGACCTCGCATCAAGTAAACAAGAATAGGAAAGCAGTGAAAAATTGCAGGGGTTAAGGTAGGGCCAGTGAAAATTGTTGCTATTTTGTAATGGAAGTATGAATGATCAGAACTGAAAAGTATTCACAGAGATGGTTATGCATTGAGCCTACTTGCAAATAAGAATGGCATCAGAGAGGAGAAAGCATGGGTGAGGTGAGTAGGAGGGAAAGCTACATGAGGAATAGGAAATTGGTGCTTAAAGATAAGGAAAAGAAATGGAAAATAGGATGAGCTCACACTTACTTGGTTGTGGGACAAAGCTTGCATCAGTCAAGCTGCCTTGTGTTAAAATCCAGTGCTCTGAGAAATGAACTATCAGCCACTTAGGTATGTTTTGTTGGCACAGTGAAAGGAATACCTGCTCTTGGATATTTGGGAAAAGGTTACTGACTTTTATGAGATGTTTATGATAAAGACAGTATAGATTTCTCAGAAAATATAGAGGGTTGACTTTGATTTGTAATGTCTTTTCTTTCAGTTCTTGTGACCTAAAGTACACAGAAGGAGTACAGTCCCTCAACTGGACTAAAATCATGAAGACTATCGTTGATGACCCTGAAGGCTTCTTTGAACAAGGTGGCTGGTCTTTCCTGGAGCCTGAGGGTGAGGTGCGTGAGTGTGGGGTTTTTTTTCTGGTATAGTGTTGCCCGTTACCACTTGGGGAGTTAGCACAGTGCCATGTAGGTAGTACAGGAGGGACCGGAGCAAATGGAAAAAGCTCTGAATACAAGTTGCTTTTGTTTTTCCAAATTAGTTTTACGGGTAAATGATAAATTAATTGGGCTTTGTTAGCCACTGACAAGATTTCTTTAAAACAAAATCTGCTTCTTTCAGTGAATTCCTTACTATATGGAAAAATTCCTAAGGGCATTTTGCAGAAAATGTTTCCTTCAGCATATTGCATTATTACCATTAGTGTTTCTTTGGTTAATTTTCCTGGGTAAGAAAGGATAAAGAAAATCTATAAAAAAAAATATGAATTAGATATTGAGGGTCTCTATTAATTCTTACTAGTGATTTTAAATAAATCCTTTAATCTCTTGATCGTCCAGGTTTTTGTTGTTTGTTTTAAAAAAACACAAATAATATTATGTGCTACCTTCACTAGGGAAGTGATGCTGAGGAAGGGGATTCAGAGTCTGAAATTGAAGATGAGACTTTTAATCCCTCAGAGGATGACTATGAAGAGGAGGAGGAGGACAGTGATGAAGATTATTCATCAGAAGCAGAAGAATCAGGTTGGTCTTTATAGGGGAAAGTTTTCTGTCTTCCTAATCTAATGTCATTTCTAGAAACTTTTTTTTAAGATTTATTTTATTTATATAAGCACTGGGTACAGTCAGAAGCATGGGAGGGTGAGAGAATTCACCAGAGCCAGAGCGGAGGGCAGAACAGGCAGACTGACGAAATACACTGCTGAGGGGAGCAGCGGGCAGCAGGAGAGGTCTGCGTGCCATGTGGGACCCTCACCCAGTGGCCGGGGATCGAACCAGCGCTGCAGAGGCTGCGGGCAGCTTTGCAACCCAGCGCTCAACCGCTGCACCACTGGAGAGGCCCTAGAAACTGGTTTTTTTAGAAGGGAAAATTCTGTTACTCCATGCCTATCTAAAGATTAATGCTTAATTTTATTCCAGATTATTCCAAGGAATCATTAGGCAGTGAAGAAGAGAGTGGAAAGGATTGGGATGAATTGGAGGAAGAAGCCCGAAAAGGTAAATTTTTGCTTTGCTTGTTTTATTTTTTTGAGGCACAAATTGCTAATGGATTTCAATATTTTGTGATATTGGCAGCCTAATAAGAGTAACAAAAGAATAAGCTGCAACTTCATTGACCAAAGAAGAAAATGAGTGTGTGTGCACTCCAAGGGGCATGACTGCCTAACTGGATGCTTTTTTCACCTGGTCAGGCTCCCAGTGGGTCGATAGCCATGATGCCAACATAATCTTGTGAGGTTCCAAAATTAGGCTATTTGTTTTTCAAATCTAAATTCTCTTAACTTTCTGCACGTCTCCCAGGATAGGAAAGTTTATGTGGTATTAATTTAATTACTCTGAAGCCAGATAACAAAGAAAAGTTAAAGATGAAAAGGAAATAGTCTCCCATATCCCGGCCACTGAGATTGTTCTTGGCATCAATTACCTTACTTAATCTGAAAAGTTTTCCATTCGATAAGAATAAATGAATGAACACTGCGGAAGATTAAGTACTTGTCCAGTCACACATCTAGTGACTAAGTAAAAATTAAAACCTAGGACTGACTACAAAGGTCATTCTCTGTGTTACTTCATGTTCTCCAGGTTAGCTACCTACAGCTAACCTGCAGCTAACTAGTAATGCCTCTTCTGTTTAGCGGACCGTGAAAGTCGTTACGAGGAGGAAGAAGAACAGAGTCGAAGTATGAGCCGAAAGAGGAAGGCATCTGTGCACAGTTCAGGCCGTGGCTCTAACCGTGGTTCCAGACACAGCTCTGCACCCCCCAAGAAAAAGAGGAAGTAACTTCTGAACTTTGACCCTCAGTTCCATTCTTCCTCCAGCCAACCCCTGAAAATTTTACATGACATAGAAACTGTATTTTTCCTTTTTTTTTTCTTTCGAACGTTTGCCATTTGTGTTTATGGGTTTAGGGGGCCATTTGTGTGGACCAATCTACTCGGGGGATTCCAGGCCCACCAGGACTCGTGCCAATGGCCCCATCCAGATGGCAAGGGAGGAGGTATTCTTGAAGAAGGGCAGAGGCTTCCACTGTTAATACTGTTTCATTCCTCTCTTCTTGTCACCTTCTACCAGGACATTGAAGGTTTCTGACATCTTATTCTTTGATGTCTCAAAGCTCTATTTCCAGGACATTGGTACAAGGTGACTCTTACCTACTGTGCCAAGGTTCTTAACCAGCAGATTCAGTCCTCCATCTTATCCTACTTGCCATGACCTTCCTCACATCTCTTTAAGTTCCATCTTTGCAGTACTAAAGAAAAGGTTCTTGGATATTACTAATGGTTGTGATAAACCATACAGCTTGAGCTGATGAGGCAGATCAGGCTGGTACTTTCACCAGTTTTCCTGCTTTCTTGCCTCCTGCGGATTCTGAGTTATTTTGCTGCCTTGGAAGACATAAGCAGTGACACTCCTTGGCTCAGTTCATCCTCCTTACAATTCATACATGGTACAATGTAGAAACAAAATTACAAGTTTCTTTTCTGGTGTACCTGAGGAAGAGTGATTGTTCCTCATATACTGACTGCTTCCAGTGGAATCTAGGAAGAGGTGCAAAGGAGTCAACATTTAGATCTGGAAGGGGGCGAGTCACGCCTTGGGCCTAGAATACCCTGATGAGAACAGAGAAGAGGAAGGGAGGCCACATCTACAACACAGCCTCTCATCACTGCTGCTCCTTATTTTTACTTGTCTTGCATTGTCCTGTATTTATCACAGTTTCTGTTGAACAGCTTTTTAAGTATTTGGGGAGTTTATCTTGCCATCCTTCCCCTCCTGGTTCTCTGCACCCATCTGTCCCCATTACAGTTCCTTCTGTGTTCTGTGACCTTAAGAGAAGAGGGGGGGAGGGGCCTCAGATTTTGTTTTTGTTGTTTTTTTTTTTTTCTCCTTAGCAGTAGGACTTGATATTTTCAATTTTGGAAAAACTAAAAGATAAATAAACTGTGGTTTTTTTTGTTGTTGTTTTGTTTTTATAAATTCACCTTGTGTGCTATTTATTTTTGCAGTTACTGAAAACCAGCTTCTCCTTGATGAAGTGTTAAGATGTAGAGAAGTAGGCCTTTGTCCGTCACTCATCATCTCTGCTGTCACAGTAGACATCACAGGAAACTACATTTATGGCGTAGCAAGTTACTTTATATGAGACGTTTTCCTATGGCTCCCTCAGGGTTTAGCGTGGAATAGCACTTGTTCCATCACAAAACCAAATCTTCAGTCATCTCCTTGTAAATAGCACGGAAGGCAGCTGCAGCTTGAAGGGAAACCTTCAGCTTTCCTATTGGGGTAGCCTGATCTTCAGGGCTAACAACTGTTGGGAAATAAAGAAGGAACATGTCAGACAACAGCATCCCTCAAGTAAAAACACTTAATTTAAATACCTGGTTTTTGTTGTGTCGGGTACTGAGGACACTAAAGTTTTCACCTCATTTCTTAGAGGGGACACAGTTTGGAAGAGCAAGGAAAATCATAATAAAATAGTGTAGGTGCCTTGAGAAAACAAGAGGCACCTAACCCACACTGGAGGAATTGGAAAAGGTTTTCTGGAGATAATGCCTAAGTCTTTCAAAACTGAAAGATATTCTAAACATTTGCCAAGACATGAGAACATGTGAAGTCTGGGAAAATGTGAGGAGTAGCAGAAAGGAAGCTATTCAGGGCTTTCCCTGGTGGCGCAAGGGTTTGGGACGCAACCTATGAAGCAGTCCGCAGCCTCTGCAGCATGAGTTCGATCCCTGGCTGGCAAGAGCAACCCACATGGCCCAGCAGCAGACCTCTCCTGACTTGCCTGCTGCTCCCCTCAGCAGTGTATTTCAGTCAATCTGCCTGTTCTGTTCCCTGCGCACACTCTCTGGTGAGTCCTCTCACCCCCCCCCCCCTCCTCTGGCCTGTACCCCAGCATTTGTATGCATAAATAAATAAACCTTTATAAAAAGAAAGGAAGCTAGTCAGATAAGCAGGAGCCAGGTCATAAAAGACCTTGTATGTCTTTTAAGGAATTTGAAATGACAGGTATTAGAAGGTATGAGAAATGACAGTTTTTATTTGGGTTCTAGAAAAATGACTCCATTATTTGGAGAATATATTTGATTCAAATGGGACACAAGTAAATTGGGGGAGGGTAGTTATGAGGTGATTATAGCAATTTGGGAGAAAAAAGAAGGGGCTTCATGTGTGATAGTAGGGGAGGGAGGTAGGGAAGAGGGCAGATTCAGAACATTTAAGTAAAATAGAATTTCAACACTCAATGTTGGAAGTGAGGAGGTAGGTAGAATTAAGGATGACCATTCTAACTTGGGTAATAAGATAGTGGGAGTAAGAGGGAATACAAGGTACAAAGTTGTAGGGGGAGTTTGAGGTACTAAATGGACACAGAAGTAGTGACTTGGTCTGCTTTAAGTCCAGTTTTATTAAAAATCTGGCCTAGAAAAAGGAGAATGAGCCACATTAGAGGTTTAGAAAAGCCAAGTAGGATGAGTAAGAAAACCAATGAGATTTGACAAGATAGGGAAATTGGTAAGAACAGTGTAAGGTGCTTGGGTGTAAATTTGATCTTAGAGTACAGGCAATGCCAAATAGACCAACCATTTTGCAAGTACTTCAAGGAGCTGAGTTTTAAAGTGATAAGATAGCTGCAGAGATAGAAAGCAGAGTTTTGATTTTAAAATCAGACTAACATGTTTAAACCTGAGTGGAAGAGAGGCCATATCAAGGAAATTATAACTTTTAATGATTAAAAAATTGAAACGTGTTCATTGATTTTTGAGACTCCGAGGTCACTAAAAGCTTAAGGGGGTTTTCCTTATGTACAAAGGAAATAGAGGTCAGGAATGCATGGTATGTACAGAGAATGGGGACAGGAGTAGAAATTGGAAGTGAATGAGTAAACCCATACCGGCTCCTGCAGCTAAGGGTGTGGCCTTGGCACTGTCTGGCATGCTGCTGGCTGGTGTATTGATATGAGATCCTGCTGCACCCCCCAAAAATGGAAAAAAATTTGGGAGTGAGAGCTGAAAACAGTTGACAGATGGCACTTACAATGTGCCAACCATGACCTTTACTTAATCCTTTTATTAAGTACTCTTCATCCTGAAAACCCTGTGAAATAGGAACTGCTATTCTCATTTTATAGTTGAGGAAACAGGTAGAGAGAAAGTAAGTAACTTGCCCAATGTAGTTGGAAAGGTACCAGAGGAATATAACAAAGATCTTTGTCGATAAGCCAAAGTTTGGACTTTGTAACATTTGGTCCAAAGAGTAGTCCTCAAAGTTCCTTGATTACAATCAGTACAAACCATTTTGTATCATGACTCAAATGAGGACAGGAGTAATGACAAGTTTCACAAAATATGTGCAGTGGACTCATGTTTTCTTATCTGTGATTTTGGTATTTCATCTTTTTTTTTTCCAGACTCTGTTACTAATTTCATTTTACCATATGCTAATGGATTATGAGTGGAAATTTGAAAACAGTGGTCAAGTGGATACTCTTAGGTGTCTGCTACCACCTAACATAAATATATGAAGTCCCAGATGTATAAGGTGACTGGGATCAGTGTGGACTGGACAAAGCAAGCCCAACTAAAGGCATTCAAATGCAAGTATTTTAAAAAGAAGCTGGTCTCTGGCAAATAGTCTAAGCAAATTTAGAGAGAATGTGATCAAATTTATTGTTTAAAAACACTGTAGTTGGGGCCTCCCTGGTGGCGCAAAGGGTTAAGACACAACCTATGAAGCTGTCTGCAGCCTCTGCAGCACAACTTCGATCCCTGGTTGGCCAGGGAGCAACCCACATGGTGCAGCAGACTTCTCCTGACTCGCCTGCTGCTCCCCTCAACAGTGTATTTCAGTCAGTCTGCCTATTCTGTTCCGTAATCTGCCTCTGGTGAATCCTCTCATCCCCGCCGCCACACCTCTGGCCTGTACCCCAGCTCTTATATACATAAATAAATAAATCTTTAAAAAAAATTAAAAACTGTAGTTGGTGGAAATGGGGTGGAAGGAACCAGTGATGGGAGATCAGTTTAGAAAACCATTATAGTAGTGGGGATGTAGTCAAGACACTCCTGAAGTGCAACCAATTGATGGTCGGAAGATTTGATCTACATAAGGGACTACTTTAAAAAAGAAGGGGTATTAGTTTGTTTTGTTTCTTTTTACAAACTATGCTTAAGAAGTCAGAAATTCCAATGTTTAATCAATATGTAACAATCTTTCTATATGCAAACAATGAAGAGAAAGAAATTAAGAAAACTATCACATTTGCAATCACATCAAAAAGAATTAAGTGCCTAAAAGAAGGTGAAAGACCTGAGCAACAAAAACTAAAAGACATTGTTAAAAGAAATTTAAGGGGCCTCCCTTGTGGCTCAGGGGTTAAAGATAGCACTATCAAGCTATCCACAGCCACTGCAGCAAGACTTCGATTCCTGGCCGGCTAGGGAGCAACCCACATGGCGCAGCAGGCCTCTCCTGCCTCGCCTGCTGCTCCCCTGAGCAGTGTATTTCAGTAGATCTGCCTGTTCTGCTCCCCACTCTCTCTGGTGAATCCTTTCACCCTCGCACCCCAGTTCTTGTATGCATAAATAAATCTTTAAAAAAAAAAAAAGGAATTTAAGACACAAAGAAATGGCGAGATTTTATGTGCTGATGGACTGCAAAAATCAACTGTTGTATTGACCATCTTACCCAAAGCAATGTAAGGTTTTAATACAGTCTATCAAAATTCCAGTAGCATTCTTCAAGGAAATAAAGCAAACATTACTGAAATGTATATGGAACCACCAAATAGCCAACTAATTCCTGAGAAAAAAAAAGAATGGAGGTATCATGCTCCCTGACTTCAAACTATATTACAGTTATAGTAATCAAAATAACAAGGTATTGGAATAAAAATAAATCAATGGAAGAGAATTGAGAGCCCAGAAATAAACCCATAGTTACATGGACAGTTACTTTATGACAAAGGAACGAAGAGCATATATAATGAAGAAAGGAAAGTCTATTCAACACATGGTGTTGGAAAAATTGGTCACATTAAAAGGATGAAATTAGACCATTATTTATGCCATACACAAAAACTAACTCAAAATAGGTAAAATACTTGAATATATTCAAGACCTGAAACCATAAAATACTAAGATGAAAACAGGCACAACACTCCATTACACTGGCTTTAGTGATACCTGGGAAGTCCGATGGTAAGGAAAAGAACAAAGGCAAAATAAAATGGGACAACATCAAAATAAAAAGTGTACAATAAAAGAACTACAGTTAAAAAGACACCCAACTAGGGTCTCCCCGGTGGTGCAGCGGTTGAGCGCTGGGTTGCGAAGCTGCCCGCAGCCTCTGCAGTGCCGATTCAATCCCCAGCTGCTCCCCGGCCACTGGAGGAGGGTCCCACATGGCGCGCAGACCTCTCCTGCTGCCCGCTGCTCCCCTCAGCAGTGTACTTCATTGGTCTGCCTGCTCTGCTCCCCGCTCTGGCTCTGGTGAATTCTCTTACCCTCCCTCGCTTCTGACTGTACCCAGTGCTTGTATAAATAAATAAAAATAAATCTTTAAAAAAAAAAAAAGACACCCAGCGAAATGGGAGGAAATTTTTACACATCATATATCTGGTGAGGGCTTAATACCCAAGATATATAAAGGGCTCATTCAGCAAAAAAGACAACCCAATCAAACAATAGGCAGAAGAGCTAAACAGATACATTTCCAAGGAAGATATACATGTGGCCAAAATGGAAAAAAAATGTTCATTGTCACTTTTTAGGGAATGCAAATCATCACCACAATGAGCAATGACCCTACACCTGTGAGAATGATCTTTATAAAAGACCAGGAACAAGTGTTGGTGAGGTATGGAGAAAAAAGGAACTCTCATATGCTTTTGGTGGGAATGTAAACTGATATCGCCTCTATGGAAAACAATATGGAGATTTCTCAAGCCATCAAAAATAGATCTATCTATGTGATCTAGCAGTTCCACTCAGATGTCTCTCTGAACAATGTAAGAACAAATTTGAAAAGAGTCACGCACTCCTATTTTCATTGCAGCACTATTTACAATAACCAAGATAAACAAACCAAATGCCTAATGACAGAGCATAAAGTTGTGGAATATTACTAAGCTAAAAAAAGAAAGAAAGATGAAGTCTTGCCTTTTGTGAAAATTCGAATGGACCTTGAGGGGATTATGCTAAGAGAAATAAGCGAAAAGGAAAAAGACAAATACCACATGATTTCATTCATATGTGGAATATATATGTAGAACAAAGCAAAAACAAAACCAAGATAATCCCTTGGATTCTGACCACTGAACTGAGATTACCAGAGGTGAGGGGGAGTGGGGAAAAGGGAGGAGGAGAGCCCAGAGGAATGTGATGGAAGGTTGTTGGGACTTTGGTGGTGGACATGATATGATAAAATACATTTGAAGGGGTGTGAACCTATACTCCTAAAACATAATACTGGGTTGTAAGCCAATGGTATTGCAACAAATTTTTAAAAGCAGGAAAAACGTATTTCGGAAGAATATAAATTTTAAGTAAATGTATATATTTGAGTGAATATATATTTACATAAATAAGTGAATAGAAAAAAGAAATTCCAATATTTAAATCTGAAATGTAAATTTTAAAAATTTCCTAACTCAAACATTGGAGATTAACAGTAGATTCTGGGGCCTCCCCAGTGGCGCAGCAGGTTAAGCACCACGCTGTGAAGCTGTCCGCAGCCTCTGCAGTGCTGGTTCAATTCCCAGCAGACCAGGGAGATGCCTACATGGTGCACAGAACTCTCCTGCCTCGCCCACTGCTCCCCTCAGCAGTGTCTTTGGTCTGTCTGCCTGTTCTGCTCCCTGCTCTGTCTCTGGTGAATTCTCTCACCCTCCCGCTCCTCTGACCTGTACTCCCAGCTCTTGTATAAATAAATAAATCTTTAAAAAAAAAAAAAAACAATAGATTCTACTTGTCATGAGACCTATGGGCTAAAATATACAAGTGACTGCTTTCATGCTTTATCTAGAAATAAATATAGCTGCAGGAATTTCTTTTCAGCTTGTAACTATCAATATTGTTGTGATGATATGTAATAAAGATGAAACAGGGAAGGTATTCATTACTAGGATGATTTACTAGATATAAGTGGAACTGAGAGGCACATTACTTACTGTCAAGTTCTTGTTCTGTAATGTCTTCTCCTGATTCCATGATCTGCCACAGTTCTAGATATGCATATCCTATTTCTTGACATTCTTTCTTTTCTTCATCCATAGGATCACTTACCACTGTAAACTTCAAACTAAAGGGGGGAAAAAACAACATTCCATTTAACTGAGAAATGTAAACCTAAGGAATAGGCTTTAGAAGTGAAATAAGGATAAAAGTAATTCTAAATTTACAATGTCATCCCTAGGTCACTTTTCCTTGCCTCCATTTCATGAGACTGCAACAGCAGAAGAGTAAGGAACCAGGATGATTTAAAGTAACAACGGGCTTGAGAAAAAGGCACTAAGACTCCAGGTACTGTAGTTCACCAAGCTGCCTCAAAACTTTTGAGATATAATTCCTTGTAAAATAGTTTACAATTCTGATGAAAGATTTGATCTAAGCTTGGAGGTGTTACACAGAAACCAAGAGTATAGAAGTTAGAAGAGGTTTAAAATTTCTAAATAAAAGTTGTAGAACGTGCCTGAGTGGGTAAAGGAGACAGAAAGAATGAAGAACTACTAAAAGAATATAAAAAGTGCATTCCTTAGAGTCTTGAGAGATGATGTTGTAAAGCACACAGCACAGTCTGACAAGCAGTGGGTAGTCAATAGCAATTATTATGACCTTAGCTTAGCCTAACAAAGGATGAATTCCAAAAACTGGCACCTATTAAATTTTAAAGACAAGCTCACATAACATAAATTCACTACTTTAACTACTTAAATGTATGTAATTCGGTGTTTTTTAATGTCATAATGTATAGCCATCACCACTACCTAATTCTACATCAAGAAGAAACACTATACTCATTAAGCAGACATTCCCCTATCCCCTCTCCCCAGCTCATGGTGAACACTAACCTTTGTTCTGTCTCCAGATTTGCCTGTTATGGACATTTTATATGCTCATATTTTTTAAGTCAAATATTGGTGGCCAATAGAGTGCAAGAGAACTAGAACTAAAATCTGACTGTGATTATATTTCTGTATCAATTCTGAGAAATTCAACAATGCAAAGGGAGGTTATCTCGTATAACTGTGCTAGGCATACTACCAAGTGTTTTAGGTAAACTATGTTATTTCAGAATCCTCACATGATCCTTCATATTAAGTGATATCTCAAAGATCTTAGAGCAAGTATGTGGAAATCAGGATTCAAAGTCAGGTCTGATTACAAAGCCAGTTGTTTGTCTACTATGCCATACTGACAAAAGAAAGTCAAAGGTATTCAGGTAAATTGCTGCCACTAGAAAGTGCTCATCAGGGCTGCTGCCATAGTGAGAAAAGAACTAAACCTATGAGATGACATAATTGATCAGGTAATCAGACACAAACATTAGACAAAAATTAGACTTAAGTAGATGAGAAATTCATTAAAAGTCAATTAATTTGACAGAAGTAATTAGGTTATTCAGCATTAGTGAAAGACCAAACTTAAATGCTGTGACTGAGTAACTCCCTTCAAAGTGTGCAGCAGGTGCTTACTGTCTTTGCTCAGGATCTTGTCCATTCAGCATGTTAAAGAGAAATTCTCTTCGACCTTTCTGCTCCAGTGGATCCAGGTCTATCACTATTAAGGGTAAGATTAAAAAAAAAACCCAAAGAATCATAAACTGTTATACTTGGGCACTAAGACTTTCATACATGGTATAAGTAAAACAGTAATAAAAGCAGAGGTTGGCAAAATAGAGCCAGTGGGCTGCCCCTGTTTTCATAAAAACAGTTTTATTGAATATTTAACATATATTTGAGGGTAGTTTTCCAACCTAAGTAATAGAGTTGAGTAGTTGTAACAGAGACTGTCTGGGTTACAACATCTAAAATAGTTACTATTTGGCTCTTTAAGAAAAAAATTTTGACCCCTGATAAAAAGGAAAACTTATAGCCCACTTTGAAAGCTGTTCTGCTCCATGTCAAGATAAATGTACTCCCACTGGGTCTCCTTGGTGGCACGTAGGTGAAGTCTCAGGGCTATCAAGCTATCGCTAGTCACTACAGCATGAATTTGATTCCCTGCCAGGGAGCTAAAACCCCCATGGTGCAGCGGACCTCTCCTCTCTCACCCACTGCTCCCCTCAGCAGTGTATTTCAGTAGATCCGCCTTTTCTGCTCCCCACTCTGTCTCTGATGGATCTTCTCACCATCCCCCAACACCTCTGGACTACACCCCAGTTCTTGTATACATAAGTAAATTTTTTTTCCATAAATAAATTTTTTCAAAAATGTGCTCCTACTACTCCACAGCTGAAAGAATTCTAGGACTTACTTTGGGGGACCACCTAGATATTTGGGTTTTTAGGCAGGTTCAACTCAAGAGCCTATCTTAACATCTGCTCTCCCCTTCCTCCTCATTTTTATAATGGAATGTAGTAGTTGACAAAAAAAGAGCTTTTGTTAGAGCAAGGTTTGGTCATGAGATTGAGCTCTGGCCATTGTGTTGTGTGAAACCTGTTTAAGAGGCTTAGCTGGAAGATATTCTTCCTTTCCTCAGCAGGCATTAAGGGTCATGGGATATCTATAAGACAAGGGAAGACAAGATAGTATCTAAATCGCCACAAGTCTCAGTCCTGGATTGCCTACCTCTGACATTTATTTAATCTGGTCTTAATTGTTTGTTATTATGGATCTGTGAATATTAATTCTTGCAATGCCAATTAATTGCCTCACTTTAAACAAGTGAGAAATAAACTACTATCTTGCATGCTATGACAGGATATACAAAAGTGTGGGGGTAGAGGAATAGAGAACAAGAAATAGCTTTTGGAAATTTAAATACTCTGTCAATGACTAGAAGATAAAAGGGAGAAAATATCCCAAAAATATAGAAAGGGGGAAAAAAAGGTAGAATTATAGAAGGAAAATAAGAAAATCAGGAGATCAGGGGCCTCCCTGGTGGTGCAAGGGATTAAGAAGACGCAGCCTATGAAGCTATCCTCAGCCTCTGCAGCATGAGTTTGATTCCTGCCCTATCAGAGAGGTACCCACAAGGTGCAGCAGACCTGCCTGACTCACCCGCTGCTCCCCTCAGCAGTGTGTTACAGTCAATCTGACTGCTCTGTTTCTGGTGAATCCTCTCACCCCCCACACCTCTGGCCTGTACCCCAGTTCTTGTATGCATAAATAAATATTTTTAAAAATTAGAAGATCAATTTGGAAGATCTGACAATTAAGAAAATGAGAAAATGTTAGGAACAAAATTATCAAAGAAAGTGCAATAAAAAAAATTCCAGAACTAAAAGCAATGAGCTCTAGATTGAATGAATCTGCTAAATGTAGAACAATTAAAGAAAAAATATGCATATTACTCTGACATTTAAGAACACTAAAGATAAACAGAAAAATGCTAAAAGTCTTCTTGGGGGCAGTTTTCACACAAAGGTTAGATTTCTGGCTGGAATTTTGAAGACCATGGACCAATCTCTTTGAAATTTTAGATGAAAATGTTTTCAACATATGTTTTGCCTTGTTACCTATAGAATATGCGAATAAAATAAAGAGAATTCAGTGGGATTGTTTCAAAATATTTACTTCCAAGGTATCCTTTAAAAGCTGCTGAAAACATGATTCATTAAAATAAGAAAATTAATCAGACAAAGGATGACAAAGGAGAAAAGAAAATCCAGAGAATGAAATTCTCTATGTGGGAGAATAGCTGAAGAGTAGACGAGAGAAAAACAAGAGGATAAAGAGTTATTCAGGAAAAAAAATATATAAACTATTTGACAGGCTTGATTATTTAAAAATTTGGAAAGGCTATTAGAAATTATGAAAATAATTAAAATACGTATAATGTAAATAAAGCAAGTGAAAAATTAAAGCAAAAAAATAATAAGAAAGGCAATACAATCACGGGGTATTAATTGGCTTTGCAAGAATTAATATTCACAGATCCATAATAACAAATAATTAAGACCAGATTAAATAAATGTTAGAATCCCACTACATCGAGGGAAGGGGGTGGGTGTGATATAAGACAGATAAATTTTATGTTCCAATATAAGAAGTCAGCAGATAATGTCTAAAATTGATGAATCAGGAAACTGCAAGAAAAACATCATCCAGAAATATATAGTCGAATAGCAGAAAAAGTATAGTGGCCTGAGGGGGCACGGAACAAAGTGATTTGTAGAGAAGAGATAGAGCAAATAATTGCTTAATGTTAATGAAAAATCTTTTTAGACCTATTGGACACTTTTTTTTTAAGATTTATTTATTTTTGCATACAAGAGCTGGGGTATAGGCCAGAGGTGTGGGGGATGAGAGGATCCACCAGAGACAGAGTAGGGAACGGAACAGGCAGACTGACTGAAATACACCACTGAGGGGAGCAGCAGGCGAGTCAGGAGAGCTCCCTGGCTGGCCAGGCAACGAATGTGTGCTGCAGAGGCTGTGAATAGCTTCATAGTGCTGTGCTTAACCCCTTGCACCACCAGGGAGGCCACCTATTGGACACTCTAAAACCTTATGTACCTATTACTTTGATAAATCAAAGAATGTAAAATGGTTGGATTCACTCCATCAGAAGTCCAGAATAGTTCTGACTCCTCCCATCTAAATGTTTGTCAGTCACTTCTCACTATCCACAGGGGATGATGTCTCACCCTTGCTAAAATGGAAGTGGATCTCTTCTCCTGCCCTTGGTTTCCTCAGGGATACTGGAGTCTCAGTCTCCGACAAGGGCAGGTCATAAAACTTATACTCCACATACACCTGCTGTACGTTCTCATCACACATCACTTCAGTCTCTGGGAAGAAGGCTAGGGAGACAACTTCAATGCACATCTTCTCTGAACCCTGATAAGACAAAAGTTATTTCCCTATAGTTTAGTGATGCTTCATGTATTTATACTCCATTTAATTAACACATTATGCTCTAGGAATCAATATTAGGCATACTTCATCTAATGTATTACTTCTTGAGGATCAATTTTTAGATAAAATATGCACCAAAAGACAACTTGACTGAATTGCCATGCCCCAATTTGTTGTTGGGAAATTTGTAAAGAGAATCCAGTTGTTGTATCTCCCAGTCCAGTAAATAGTTTCTGCAGCCATCTGCACTACAGTAAGAATCAATTCTGAGCAGATAGTTTTTCTTCAATATTCTGAATGAAAACCAGTCCAGCATTTTCCCGAGATTAGGTCCTAACAGACCTGTTGATTGATAATTGGAGGTTTAGTAACTGTTTTAAGCACAATAATAGAGCGCTGTCCAGGGCCTCCATCCCCTTCTGACTGCATATCATAGTGCAGCCCTAGGACCACCACCCTCCCTTGGCAACTCCAACACTTTCATCCTCATTCCAGAGTTGCTGCCACCACCATTTTCCTCTCCTTTGATTTCATTATATAATTTATTGGGACTAAATAACTAAAAGAGAAGTATACAATTAGTAATATTAGCCATTTCACCTCTATAACATACTAACTCATTTGAACTTGCTTGGGGGTTACTTGCAGAACCCCCAAGAACAGTTAGTTATGCAGTATTAGTGCCAGACAGTTCTTTTTGGCTTATCAGTTCAGGTGTGCCAGCTAATTTGGATGGGGGTGGGGGCTCCAAAAATTAATCAACTAGCATAATAAAAGTTCAGGACATCCTCCACACTTGAAATTTATAAGAAAAGAGAATAAACTTTAAGGTTTTTATAGATACTACTGCTAACCTGAGACAGTCACCTGAGGCCACAGACCAAAGGCAAATGACCTCTCCTTTCTCAGTAGCTGTTAAAGGAAGGAAATGTATTCTATGGTCCATTCAGAATACAAGATTGATTACTGGTCCAGGAATGGCACTTCATCTGGTGGAAAATATGTGGTTTGGGTTGAAATCTTTTCTTGGGAAAAGATTCTTTCTTTCTTTTTTTTTTTAAGGACTCAAGTATTCTTTTTTTTTTTTTTAAAGATGTATTTATTTATTTGTATAAGCACTGGGTACAGTCAGAAGCGTGGGAGAGTGAGAGAATTCACCAGAGCCAGAGTGGGGAGCAGAGCAGGCAGACTGACGAAGTACAATGCTGAGGGGAGCAGCGGGCGGCAGGAGAGGTCTGCGCGCCATGTGGGACCCTCACCCGGTGGCCGGGGATTGAACCGGCGCTGCAGAGGTTGCGGGCAGCTTTGCAACCCAGCACTCAACCGCTGCGCCACTGGGGAGGCCCCGGAAAAGATTCTTAGAGGGAAGATAAGCATAAAGGAAATCTAGAAACTTTGTGATGATTAACAAATAAGGCCTCCCAGGGAACAATTCTATATACATCCTATGCACACAGAACTGTCTCAAAGAGACCAGGTAAAGATCCACATGTATTGTGATTGCTTCACTCTTTTAGCTATACAAGGGAAAGGCATTTTGGGAGAGTCAGGCAGAAGAGAAATGACACTCCCCCGCATTGGGGCCTAGTCCTTCCTTGTAGGGGCCTCCACCATGCTACAGAAGCAGGAGGAGGAAGATATTTCAGAGAGGATAGATTATTGACATCATCAATAACATCATTGTCATTTAGTGCTTAATGTAGCTCAGGTGCTATATTAGACCCTTGCCACCCATTACCTCATTTAAATTCTGCCACATGACTATAAGGTAGACATAGTTAACAGTACCATTTTTTAAAAAAGATTTATTTATTTATACAAGAACTGGGGTACAAGCCAGAAGTGCAGGGCATGAGAGGATTCATCAGATACAGAGCAGGGAGCAGAACAGGCAGACAGACGGAAGACACTGCTGAGGGGAGCAGCAGGCGAGAGAGGAGAGGTCTACTGCACCATGTGGGAATCACCCTGGCCAGCTGGGAATCGAACCCACACTGCAGAGGCTGTGGACAGCTTCACAGCATGGCACTCAACCCACTCTGCCACCAGGAAGGCCCAACAGTACCATTTTACAGAGGTGAAATAACTCCCCCAAAGCTACATAGCTAGTTAGCAGCAAGACCCAAACCACTTCTCTCTGAACCAGTCTCCAAGCTCTGAAACACTACTTGCCTCCTTCATTATCCTGGCTGACTCCAGGGAGAAGAGTGACAAAACTCAAGTACTGTCTCTGGGCCTTCAACCCTTTGATCTTTTATGCCTAGCAATTTTGAAATATAATCATGATTGAGCTGGAAGTTTAATTATAATGTAGGATATTTAATTAGATCAAAACACTACTTTTTTGCTAAACTAGACTGAGTTTTCATATTTAGTTTCTCAAGTAACATTTTTGGACATGCAAGGGTTCTCTAAAAGGAGATCTTATTTAGGAGTTGTCAGAATAATATTTTAAAAGTAATCTGCCTGGTTTGTCTTTTCTTTTTTTTTTTTTTTTTTTTTTTAAAGAGGCACGTATTTTATTCATTTATTTATTTATTTGTTTGTTTGTTTTTGTTTATACATGCACTGGGTACAGTCAGAAGCGCGGGAGGGTGAGAGAATTCACCAGAGCCAGAGCGGGGAGCAGAGCAGGCAGAAGGACCGAAGTACACTGCTGAGGGGAGCAGCGGGCGGCAGGAGAGGTCTGCGCGCCATGTGGGACCCTCCTCCGGTGGCCGGGGAGCAGCTGGGGATCGAACCGGTGCTGCAGAGGCTGCGGGCAGCTTCGCAACCCAGCGCTCAACCGCTGCGCCACCGGGGAGGCCCAATCTGCCTGGTTTGTAATTCAAAACTTTGCTGACCAGGGCCTCCCCGGTGGCGCAGCGGTTGAGCGCTGGGTTGCGAAGCTGCGCGCGGCCTCTGCGGCGCCGGTTCGATCCCGGCTGCTCCCCGGCCACCGGAGGAGGGTCCCACATGGCGCGCACCTCTCCTGCCGCCCGCTGCTCCCCTCAGCAGTGTCCTTCGGTCCTTCTGCCTGCTCTGCTCCCCGCTCTGGCCCTGGTGAATTCTCTCACCCTCCCGTGCTTCTGACTGTGCCCAGTGCTTGTATAAACAAAAACAAACAAACAAACCAGCAAACAAATAAAGAAAGCATGCCTCTATAAAAAAAAAAAAAAAAAAAAAAAAAATTTTAAAAAAAAAAAAAAAAAAAAAAAACTTTGCTGACCAGCTGTCTGCCTTTCAGCTGTTGACCTGAGAGAGGGGGCACAGTTTAGAAACCTTGAGTAGAGTTCCCACTCTTTTTTTTTTCTATTTTTATTATTTTTTTAAGATTTATTCATTTATTCATACAAGAACCAGGTTACAGGCCAGATGGGCAGGAGGGTGAGAGGATTCACCAGAGACAGCGGGGAACACAACAGGCAGACTGATGGAATGCACTGCTGAGGGGAGCAGCGGGCGCGACAGGAGAGGACTGCAGCGCCATGTGGGACCCTCGCCAGCCAGCTGGGGTCAAACCAGCCCTGCAGAGGCTGCCGACAGCTTCACAGCGTGGCGCTCAACTGCCTACGCCACCAGGGGAGGTCCTGAGTTCCCACTCTTTTACCAGCTTGCTCTATACTCCTGGAAATATCATTTAATCTTTTTCATCTTTATAATCTTGAAGGTGTCAAAGTCCAATATTCTCTGGTTCCTAAACATTTCTCAAGATATTAATTTTATAATGTCTTTAAAAAAAGGTGTGACAGATAAAACTTCAAAGGAAGAGAAACTTAACTATTTACTATGTTAACAGTTTAAGTGTACTGATTTTTAATTGTTTCTCCCCATTCCAATAGCCTTCATTTTCCTGCATATCTTGAGAAGCTCTGACGTCTACTCAGGAAAAGTTTTCTGATCTCTACAAAAGCAACAATAATTTCTCTTTTCTGAATACTTAAAAATCATATAATCTACCTTCTTGATTTTAGCTGCACCTATATTTTCTTTTGTTGCTTCTAAGGAAGTTCACAATCTTAAGTTTTATTCTTTCATTCAGTCATTTATTCTACAACTATTTATTGAGCATCTGCAGATGTGCCGTGGAACATTCTAGTGACTCAAGAAAGTGAATGTTTTCTATCTCATTTGTAACCCCACAAGATTCTAATACAATAACTGCTGAATATACCTATGAACATTTATTCATACATGTGTGCATGTGTGTGACTGTGTGTCCTCAACTAGTTCCAAAAGAGCTTTGAGGATGAAATTAATACATGACTGTAAGTACAGATTTTAAGGGTTGGGTCAAAAACTTCACAAACTGAATGGTCTCTCTGAGCCCTCCCACCAAGAATCCTTTCCTCTCTTCCAACCTCAACTTCCAAAAACAAATCTGTTCTTCTTAGGGCATCACTCAGGCTGGGGAAGAATCACAATATGGAAATGGAGAACATGGGAGTAGGAGAAGACAGTTGAGAGAACAGGCAAGAGCAGAGTTAAAGCAAGTCCTCATTACACCAAGTCAAGAAAATGATCCTTTTATCTGTTTCTATCAACAGGCTTCCATTCACATGTAATGTAAATTTAAGTAACTTTATATTTCCCATGAAGTTTATTAAAATTGAATATGAAATTCATATACATGACATTAAGCATACTACCACTATTTACAATCTTGTTTCACAATGATGACCAGTGTACTTACTGCCTTAAGACATTGCTGAGATATGGGTGTCACTATGACGTCATCACTCTCTGTAGTTTGGGCTTCACTGACTTCGGAAATTTGTTCACAGGAATCTTTATCTGCTAGAGAAGAGACTGGCATTAAAGAACGGTTTCAGACCACCCTGAATAGCCAAGAAAACACCCAGCGCCTGTATTTTCAATTCACTCTTTAGCCATAGTTCTGAGGACCTAGATTTTGGCTGCCCTTATAAAGAATCAAATCCTCTTTTTTAAAGAGTCACTTAATTGGAAGCTTGCCAAACACGAGTTTACTTTTGCAAAAAAGAAAAAAAGAAGGGAAGAGGGAAAATTAGAAAGTTAGTTCCTTTTGTAGGAGCTGGACAAAATGGCCAAGCCAAGGAAAAGTAGCGCATTCAGGTTGTGTCCAAAGACAGTCTCAAACAACTGAGGGTGGGGGTCTATGTTCTTGCCTTTGAACAGAGGTAGATCTTTGTGAATGCTTCAACTGAAAGAAAATGATAGAAATGATGCTCTGTGACTTCTGAGGCTACAAAATAAAAATGCTGTGAACTCACAACTTGTCCTCTTAGGACTCACCCTTAGAACTCAGCCACCGAGCTGTGAGGAAGGCAAGCAACCTGCAGGGGGACTGTGTGGAGAGGAACTGAAACCACAGCCACTGCCAATTGACAGGGCCACCTTGCCAAGCTTTAGAATGAGCCACTTCTAAGATGAATTCAGTCCCCCAAACAGCTGCCATATCTGCTATCATGTAAGAGCTTTGTGCCTTCCCCAAGAGTCCTGCCTAAATTGTAGTTTAGTGAGCAAAAGAAGTGATTATTGTTTGCAGTCGCTACGTTTTGGAGTGGATTGCTACTTGTAGTAACAGATAACTGGAAGACTAACTGCAGCCAACATAAAATTTCAAAGTTCTCGAATTGTCCATTCCACTGAAGTTTCAGAGGCAGATGATCTGAGATGACATGGGGTAACAGAAGCAAACTCTACTAAAGGGCCTAAGTCAGCGGATGTTGGAATAGTTTTAATATTGGGCCCATTCTTTTTCTTGGGGATCTTTATCTAATAGTCATGTAGATGTTTGTTTGAAAGTTTAATGATTAAGTTTCTCAGCAACCACACCATCCTGCCTTTGATATCCCTACTTGGACTTCTGGGACAAATATTACCTTCCTGTCCTGCTAATTGCTGCTCTTGATCTGAAATTCAGAAAAGATAGATATTAAAACAAATGATAGATTAACTCCTGCTCCCATTTCTCATATTCTACATGGAGAAAAATCGAGTGATATAGATATAACATTTTGTTGCACCCCATAAGTTCTGATAGTTTGTCTTTATATTTATAGGTCAATACGGATAGTCTATTTCTTTGTAAGTCAGTTTTGGTAATTTATATCTTTCTAGGTATTTTTTTCCATCTAAGTTTCCATTTATAACGTTCATAATATTCTTTTATAATCTGTTAATAATAGGCTCTGTAGTGACCTTACATTCATTCCCGATTGTGCTAATTGTGTCTGCTCTTTTTTCTTTTTTTTAAAGTTTCGTTTATTTATGCATACAAAAACTGGGGTATAGGCTAGAGGTATGGGGGTGAAAGGACTCACCAGACACAGATTGGGGAACAGAACAGGCAGATTGACAGACATGCACTGCTGTGGGGAGAAGCAGATGAGCCAGGAGAGGTCTGCTGAGCCATGTGGGTAGCTCCCTGACCGGGGATCAAAATCATACTGCAGTGGCTGCGGGTAGCTTCATAGTGCTGAGTCTTAACCCCTTACCACCAGGGTGGCCACTGCTCTTTTTCTCTTGATCAACATGCCAATTATCAATGTATTGCTTCTCAGCTCCAAATATAAATTTTAACTGCTCTGCATTGATTAAGTTGAACTCTTAAATACATCTTCTTTGCCAGATGGCATGTTAAATTTTGTCAGCAGAAGGTATTGAAGATCACTGGAGGAGTAATTCTCTTCCTGGTTCCATTATACTCATTATAGGCTCCTGAGTCTGCAGACCAGGTTCCTACAATGGGATCCTCCAACTGAGGGTCTGGCTCCAGCAGCATGTGCGCTTTCCTGCAGAACGCAATTCAGCAGCAAGTGGCTTCTGCAACATCCTACTCCAGTGGTTCTCAGCAGTCAGTAGCATGGGCACCTTCCCATGGGCAGTTTCCTTGACACCCCCTACGGGGGTTTCACAGTGAAATTCCATTGTCTAGAACCTCTCTGTGAATGGCTTACTGAAAGCAACTTCTCAGTTCCTTCTGAGTTCTGACATGAAGCCACAGTAAACTTTGGTGCCTTTCAGTAAAATAAAACTTCACATTCTCCAATGAGGTCTGGATTTCAGTCCGGTATTCTTTGGAGTTCTCTTTACTTCTTACTATTCAATCCTCATCTCCTCTAGGTCAGTACTTGTGGTAGGGTGATTGTTTACATTACATTTTTCCGATTCAAATTACTATATAGTTTCTTATTATTGAATCTTCATTAATATAGTCATTCTAGATAAAGACCTATCAAGTCGTTGATCTTTTCAAACAAGGCATAGCAAGTTGTTGATCTTTTCAAACAAATTTTGACTTCAATGATTTTCTTTCTTCTTTTTCAGTTTACTTTTCACTGACTTCTGCTCTGCTCTATTATTTCCTTCCTTGGGTTTGACTTTTTTTTCTTTTTCTAGTTTCTTGAAATGGAAGCTTAAATTACTAACTTTGGACCTTTATTCTTTTCTAGCTATAAGCATAACTAAGATTTAATCTTGATGCAAAATTTATTTAGATGTGTGTTGGCTAATAATCAAATATTTGTTACTGTCTGCATTACTTTCCTATTGTTGTTATCACAAGCTACCACAAATTTGGTGGCTTGAAAAAACAAATTAAAGAGCAATTTTGGCCAAGAACTGGTAAAATGCCCATACTATCACTCAGAGATATGAGATGATGATCCCATTTTCTAATCCTAAAATGCTCTCGGGACCATTTTCACACATGGTGGTGTTACATGTCCTGCATGCACTGGGAAAACCCCACTGACAAAAAATAAACTGATGCTGCACCTGACACAGGACATCCTCACAAAGAATTCAATTTTGCCTTTTATCTCAGCTAAGTGGGTCACTACTTTAGCAGAGCTGGTCTCCAAGGACTAGTCAAAATTGCAGGATGCCATTGCAGAGATCCTGGTGGTTCATCATGGTGGTTTCAATGAGCTGAGAGTACCTCAGAAGTACTTAACCAATGTCATGTAGTAATGACAGGAAGTAGAAGCTGGTGTCCATCCTTGTGGGCAGTATGCCAAAGAGAAAAATGTTAACCAAGGCCAATTGTGATACTGATTATCACACTGCACAAGACTCTGAGAGAGTTCCAACTCTTAGTCAAAGAGTCCCTCTTCATAGAAATAGAGGGGTTGTTAGAGCTGGACAGAAAGTCTTTCTTGAAATGCTTTGAAGATGATGATTAAGTCTGTGAACTTTTATCTTGAGAAGAAATGCAGCCTTGTTCCACATGGACTCAGCTCTCAAATCTGCTGGAGCATCTCTGCATTTGTCTGAAATTGCAGATGGAGATGAGAGAAGACCTGTCCTGACTTGCTAAACTACTACCTGTGTTTTCTATGCAACCAGTTCACACAGGCAACTTGTAGCTGTCACAAATAGTACCTCCAAGATTCAAAGAAGGTTCTGTTTCAGCAGCTGAGAGCATGTGAACACAGGTATCCCTGTTTAATGGAGAAGACCTTGGGAAACTTGGGGCAGTGGAGTCTATCTTTTCCTGAGTAAGAATATTCTCTAGAAGGACAAGAACTGTGAGGGCTACCACTCCCTCATCATCTCGGTAGTTTCTTCCCACCATTTTCTATATTCTGGAAACAAGGAGAAAGACAGAGATAGCCTCAGTTGGGACACATAGATGTACATAAGCTTCTCTCCAAGGAAGAAAGGCTAACAAACACCAATTTCCTATTCAGCATCTTGAACATTAGCATCTTTGCTTTTAAAAAAAATATTTATTTTATTTATGCATACAAGAGCTGGGGTGTAGGCCAGAGGTGCTGGGGGTGGGGAGAGGATTCACTAGAGACCGAATGGGGACCAGAACAGGGTGATTGACTGAAATACACTGCTGAGGGGAGCAGTGGGAGAGACAGGAGAGGTCTGCTGCACCATGTGGGTAGCTCCCTAGCCAGGGATCAAAACTCTTGCTGCAGTGGCTGCCAATAGCTTGATAGTGCTGAGACTTAACCCCTTGCACCACCAGGGAGGCCCAACATCAAGTGAGTCAGGGCGTTGGAGAAAACTTTTGGCTGCTAGATGTGAATGGAGGTCAAAAGGGACTCACCAAAATACAAAACAGTCCCAAAAGAATAAAACTTCTCAGTGATGGAAAGGAAGTTTTGTATTGTCTTTACAATTCTCAGGAGAAACAAATTGTGAAAGAATTAATGACCCATGACAAAGAACATTTGAAAAATAAAATGGAAATCATGCATATATTGCTCTGCAGCAAGCACTGACAAAACTTGCAGAAAATTGGGGCCTCCCTGGTGGCACAAGGGGTTAAAACGCAATCTATGAAGCTGTCCGCAGCCACTGCAGCATGAGTTCTATCCCCTGGCCAATCAGGGAGCAACCCACATTGTTCAGCAGATCTCTCCTGACTTGCCCGATGCTCCCCTCAGCGGTGTACTTTGGTCAATCTGCCTGTTCTGCTCCCCACTCTGTCTCTGGTGAATCCTCTCACCCCCTACACATCTGGACTGTACCCCAGCTCTTGTATGCATAAATAAATAAATAAATCTTTAAAAAAAAAAAACTTGCAGAAAATTTTGCAAGAAAAGAGGATACACCTGCTAAATGATACATCAGAATGAGATGCTTAAGTTGAGCGATCACAGAATGATCAACAATTGCTTCCTTTCTGGATAGACCTTTATTCCATGTTTGGTTCAAACATGAATCTGCTTTTTAGCTCTCTTTCAGCACTTCCTTGGTATCATCAGTGAGAATTTTTTGTGGAAAAAAAGAAACAAAAACCATCTGGTTTTTCAAAGATATGACCAAAATGATGTTTCCCTGATTGTGTGAGGTCTTATGACCACCAAAATGTAAGCTGCATCTTGTTCTGCCACCATTCATCGATGAGCTGATCTCTCCTCTATTTTCTCAAAATCAACCAGTTTCTGGGCCTCCCCGGTGGCGCAGCGGTTGAGCGCTGGGTTACGAAGCTGCCCGCAGCCTCTGCAGCGCCAGTTCGATCCCCGGCTGCTCCCCTGCCACCGGAGGAGGGTCCCACATGGCGCGCAGACCTCTCCTGCCGCCCCCTGCTCCCCTCAGCAGTGTGCTTCAGTCCTTCTGCCTGCTCTGCAACCCGCTCTGGCTCTGGTGAATTCTCTCACCCTCCTGCGCTTCTGACTGTACCCAGTGCTTGTATAAACAAAACAAACAAACAAATAAATAAATAAAACATGCCTCTATTAAAAAAAAAATTTAAAAAAAAAAAAAAAATCAACCAGTTCCTGGCAGTATTGAACCTCATAGCAAATGAGCTCCTGAATGAGGGTGTCAAGTTGCTGTACACAACTTAGACAACTGCCATGCTTCCTGCAGAAGTTGTCATAGAAAACTGTTATCTTACAGCAATCCATTGTAAGGAGCTCTCTTCTGCTTTGATCATAAGGTAGAGGCTGACATAGTTGTGTTTGGCAAAGAATAACCTGGGGGATGGCAGCATAAAACTTCTGAGTAGGGACTTGAATTACCCCCAATGTAAACTGCAGATGCTGATGCACAGTATTTGGTTATAACATAACTGATGACTGTACATCTTCTCCAACAAAAATCAAGACTAACATGCTTCGATTTGGGGCAGAAATATATAAGAATTACTGGATTAAAGTTTCTGTGTGAAATTTCTTTTTTTTTATTCACATAACTTATTCTTTTCCTTTCTTTTTCTTTATATATATATTTTTTACATCATCCTTTATTTTTGTATAATGTATGATTATGTAAAGTGTTAAAGAGAACTACAGTGTAACCTGAGATGCCTGTAGTTATGGGGATGCACCATCACTTCTTTCAGTTATGTAGACCTCTCATCTGACCTCAGCAGCAACCAGAACCAGCTTACTCTGTACCTGAACCAGAAATCTTAAGGGGGGGCCTCCCCAGTGGCACAGCAGTTGAGCGCTGGGTTGTGAAGCTGCCCACAGCCTCTGCGGTACTGGTTCGATCCCCGGCCACCAGGCGAAGGTCCCACATGGCGCACAAACCCTCCTGCCGCCCGCTGCTCCCCTCAGCAGTGTGCTTCGTCACTCTGCCTGTTCTACTCTCCACTCTGGCTCTGGTGAATTCTCTCACCCTCCCGCGCCTCTGACTGTACCCAGTGCTTGTATAAATAAATAAATAAATCTTTAAAAAAAAAAAAAAAGAATTTCTGACTCTTAGCCCCCGTCCCTTAAAAAAAAAAAAAGAAATCTTAAGGGGTATAATGGAGTAAAGACACTGTGTGAAGCCTTAAAACTGTAAAATTGCTCCCTCTAGATACTCCAGTTGAAGACAGATGAATATGAATCTCAAATCCAGAAACTGCTCAAAGAAATCAAAGAAAGCAACCTACAATTAACTACTGAGAGTTATGGGCCTCCCTGGTGGCCTAGGGGTTAAGTCTCAGCACTATCACCACTATGACCTGAATTCAATACCCAGCCAGGGAGCTAACCCACATGTGGCACAGCAGACCTCTCCTGTCTCACCCGCTGCTCCCCTTAGCAATGTGTTTCAGTAAATCTGTATTGTGCTCCCCCACATTCTTGCCTTTGGTGGATCCTCTTACCACCACCACCACCCCCACACACACTCTGGCCTACACTCCAGCTCTTCTACACAAAAATTTAAAAAAGAAATTATAATTGATATTATACTTGATATTCCAGAAAAAAGAGAACTCATAACTTCATTTTCTGAGTGTAGATATAAATTATACATTATCAATTTAATGTTCCTCTTCTTTAACTTCTCCTGTTCTGTTCCCCACTCTGTCTCTGGTGAGTCCTCTCACCCTCCCTCATCTCTGGTCTGTACCCCAGCTTTTGTATGTATACATACATAAATCTTTAAAAAAAAAAAAGACAGTACCATTTACAGAATGTAGGGCTTCCTTCTGTAACAGTGCCGAATGGGATGATGTGATTTCCTCTTCCTTTTGCTGAGTTTTTAAATCCTTTTTGATGGAGGTGTTCAGCCCTGAGAAGGTCCATTCAGTATAGTTCACCTGCTTCAAAATAAGACAATATTATATAGCTGGTGATCTCCTGGATTTCTTTTCTCATACTAGCCCTTTTTAAATTTTTAATTTAATACATGTCTTTAAGTTAAAAATGTGTGTTATATATATTTATAATAATATATATGGTATAATTATAAGTATGTTATATAATTATAATTTAATAAAATAAGTTCATAATTATGTGTTAATTATACAGTAATATAACATAATTATGTGTCATATAATATAAATCACATATAATTAGAAATATTATAATCAGATAATAGTATATATTTACAATCTCATGCATATATTTTTAGGTGTCATGTAGTAACTTTAATCCAGTTTCCTGTGAAAAAAGGCAGTATCAAGACAGCAGTTATTCAATAAATATTTGTTTTTAATTTACTTTGATTATAGTTGAAGAGGATGGTTAGGGTTATGGTTTTAAAGCCTTTAAGCATAAATCACAGAGTCCATAATTTAATTAATTTACACTGAAATGGGCTGTACTATTTAAAGTTTTATTAAACTACCTATATTTGTAGAAACACAAAAAGCAATGATTATTACTTCTCTTCTGTATCTGCTCCTGTTTCTATCTGTGAGAATAATACATTTGGGAATGCTATATAACCCATATTTTACCTCTCTAGGTTTTCTAAGGCCTTACCTGTAATGCATTTTCGTTTAAGACGTTACGACTTAGATACTCCATTCTGTTCTTTCCTTGGATGCCTGTTTTTTTGCCATGTTTTCTTCTTGAGTAGCTTGCCACCTGGTGTTCCTTTTCCTTTCTTTCTCCCTCCTGAGGAGGTTTTCTCTTTGCTTGACACTGGTCAGCTTCAGTGAGGATCTCAGTAGATGCCACCTGGTCCTATGTAGAAGGATCAAAGACAGTCTTACAAAATGATAGTTGAACAATATCTGTATTCAAAAAAGGGTATTTGTGAGCTGGCATTAGACATCAATTCCCTCCTGACACAGAACTGAGAGACCCCCTCTTCTCTTATCCCCACAATAAGAGCCCGGCTTCAGCAATAGCCTCAAAGCTTATGAGGGATGCAGATTGTTTGCAGAACACATGACTTTCATAGAAGGAATTTCTTTTACTCCAATTTTAATACTGTCTTCTTCAAGTCTGCCTTGTAGGATTGGTAAAGCTCTGACACCTGGGGAGGAAATGACTCCTTTTCCTCTTCAGGTGCTATCTCTAAATTGTCCTTGGTGATGGTCTCCTCAGTCTGAGCTTCTGGTTTCAGGAAGCTCTCTGTGGCTAGGTAGCAAGATTCCCAATCCAGTTGCACCTGAACAGATCCATTGGGTTTCCCTGCAGGATCAGTGAGGTTAAAATCACCTGTAAAAGACACAGACATTAAGAAAAGTCTTATCATACAAAGTAGGCCAGTGAGTACTTCTCAGCAACTTATGGTCTCCATTCCTATTTTGAATTTCATCCTATTTTGTTATAAATTCACATCAAATAATCATGATAATACATTTAGAAATAACATAAAATAGCAGGATACTTTGAATATTTTAGGGGAAACAGATATCTAAGTTTCAGGAAGAGATAGTCAAGACGGGGAGGAATACAGCTTGCTTGTCATCAGTCACCCAGCCAACAAACAAGATCACATTATTACTATTACCTATGCTCACTATGCCCTAGGCGTACCGAGGAGACCATTATCTACATTCAAGTGGTCTCTACTTGTAAAATAACAAAAGCCAAGAAAATTTTAGCAATGACTTTTTCTAAATGTCAGACTTCTAATTTGTAACACTGATTAACAGATGGCTCAAATTGTCTCTCTTGTTTGGCAAAGGACTAGTTATGAGCCGAAGTGTCAGCTTTTTGTTTTGTTTTAGCAGTTGTGTTACTGGGACCTCACATACTTCATGGAGCATCCTGAAGCTTGTTAAATAGGACTGGAATTAGAGATAGCTCTCCACATTTCCTAATGAGCATGGATAACCCTGCCTCACTCTCCCAGTTGCAACCAGAGGTGACTTTGCCTCACTGCACCCTACAACACTGGGTCTGAAAGTAAAGTAAGGTAGCAAGAACTCAGGTCTGTATTGCGGGGGCAGGGCGGGGAAGGAATCCAAATTTGCTTTTCTTGGGCCACCCTGGTGGCGCAAGGGGTTAAGCACCACACTATGAAGCAATCTGCAGCCTCTGCAGCACAAGTTCGATCCCAGGCCGGCCAGGGAGCAACCCACATGGCGCAGCAGTCCTCTCCTGACTCGCCCGCTGCTCCCCTCAGCCCTGTATTTCAGTCAATCTGCCTGTTCTGCTCCCCACTCTGTCTTTGGTGAATCCTCTCACCCCCCGCATCTATGGTCTGTACCCCAGCTCTTGTATGCATAAATAAATAAATCTTTAAAAAATTTTTTTTTGCCTTTCCTGTGGTGTGGCACAGAAGTCTAACTTGTCTCTGTTTCAAAGAAGCAAGAGAATGATAGGAGAGTGTTAAGCACACAACTTAAAATCCAATATCCATATGCTAAGAAATGAGAGGTCTTGAACAAAGACAAATACTGTGAAGCATCACATGGTAAGAAAATACTTGTAGAGAGACAGAAGTACAGACTCAGGTTGGTGGATTGTACCCACTGGGAACCTTGCTTTTGTTGCTAGAAAGATGCAGCAGCGGCTAATGTTTTCACATGATTGCTGAGGCTCTAAATCTTCTGCTCTGTTGTTCCTGACAATATTCTAAAGGTTTTTCAGCAAGCTTTAAGAGAGACTGTTCCAAGCAAGTAATCAAAGCAAAGTAGAATTAAGAAAGGAAACAACACTGAGCAGAGAGCATTAAAGTTCTAATAACTTTGAACTCCCACCTTTAATGGATTTGTTTTGTGCAAGAGGCAGCAAAGGCACTTGGACTCGGCCAAGGTACATGCCAGGCTCTGCATCTTCATCATCAAAAATGTACACAGACAGGGCCTCCCTCCTCAGGTACTGGTCCAGGTCAGAGGTCACAAGCACTGGGAATCGAGCCTGGTCTCTAAAATTTGGATTGTTACTGGCTGGAATAATGGCAGTGTCATGGTCAGAAAAGGTGAAGAAGCGGTACATGGCATATGGACTGGGTTGGGTTGCCGGCCATCGACTCTGGAGGCCACAGCACCTTGTGATTTCCACTCGCAGTGCATTCTGATGCTTCCAAGTCTCTGATCTGGTCTGGAAAGATGTTGGTCTTGAATTGAGGAAAAGGCAGCCAGAGAGATTTGTAAGCAAGGCCTATCACCCTTGGTAAGAAAGAACTATGACTTAGAGAATGGCTGAATCCTGATTGGGTTACAGAGAAACCTAATGACTTTCACATGCCTGCAAATTGGCTCTGGCAGATAGTTATGGGAAGGAGATGCTGCTACTCAGGCCTTATTCGAGACAATGGAACAGAGAAGCTATTTTTTTCACAGTAAGGAGAAATAGCTAGTTCCAAGGGCATAATTTCACTTCAAACTCAAGTTTGAACAAGGGAAGAATCTGGACTAGTTGTAGTGTGACAGTTTTTCTCTTTCAGCAAATACACATTTAACAAGTTCTTATTGAGAATGCAAGATTGAGCTGTTCTCATGAGCTGCTTGGCTGAGGCGCCTTTGAGAAGCCTGGATACATCCTTTTTCTCACCTCATCCTCCTGGGCCTCCCAGACTCCAAGCACATTGGCTGACAGGTAAGCTTGAGCTTTCCTTTGCTTAATGCATGCCTGCAGGCTGGGTCTTACAGGGAAGCGCAGCCTTATCCAGTACTCTAGCACCCCAAACTCTTCTCCACCAGCTCCTGGGTAAGTAGAAAGCATTAAAGGTATGGAAGATATAGATGATGTGGTGAGGATGGGGCATAAATACAGAGGAAGAAAATGGTAAACCACTAAATGAGTTACTAGACCTTAGGAAATTCTGCATTAGGCCTGAATCTGTGGGAAGCTGAGAGCACTTACCAGTAAGTGTGGCAGAGCCATGAACTCTCTCCACAGTCTCCAGAACCCTGCTAAAGCAAATCCATCCAGCTGCCAAGGTATGGTGCTCACTGGCTAAAGCCTGGTATATATCAAGTCGGGATGAAGCCTCTTGAAGGTAGTGCAAAAAAAGAGAATCTGTTTCCACCACATACTGAGAAGTGAAGTCATAAAGGGGCTGTGACCCCACAGCTAGTGGGGTACAGTGAGTTTCAAAATCATAGAAGGAATAGGTGCAGAACGTGGTAGGTTGAGTGTCTCCAGCTTGAGCCAGGGCAGCAGATGTCAGCAAGGCCTGGTGGATGTGCAGTTCAAACAGATTCTCACTCTGATGAAGCAGAGAAATGTCCACTTTATCCTTATCTCTGTGTGCTGACAGTGTTTCCAGACATGACAATGGTCGGGTACCATAAGCCACATCTTTGAGCTGTTCTAGAGAGGAAAAAAAACTATCTATCTATTAAAGAGTAGGAAGCTATTCCTTAGGGTAGAGGCAGGCAGAAAGAAAGGGAATAAAAACCACGCTGGAAATCCAAATTGTGGTTATTTCATGAAATCATGTTATTCAAGAGGAAAAGAAACAGAACAGAACCAGGAGCTTTGAATTCTGATGTCCAAGTAATCCAAAGCCTACTTTAGAGATAAGGTATGAGTGATTGAAAATCAGGAGAATGCTAGAGGCACAATATCATCTACAGATGACACTGTTTTGGCTTACGACAAGCCCTAGCAATTCACTGGTAAATACACGAGAGCACTAAAAATCACAAAATGTGAACATTTCCAACAGTTTGGGATATTGGCCATGGGAAGAATAGCATGTTACAGTCATAGTGGCTATTACACTGCATGGGCCCTACCAAGAAATGATTCCTCTTCTCCAGGCAGATCAACCACAAGAATCTTTATTTTATTGGGAATTTGGTTTTATTTATTGGTAAGATGGCAAAAACAAAACACATTAAGTCAAAGAGTAAGGAAGTAAAAAGTGGGGAGAAGACTCACTGGAAAGACATTCAAAATATTGGCAATAAGATGCAAAGATATGTAAGACAGTCTACCACCATCTGAGCATTACTCCCCAAATCCAACCAGATACTTAAATATCACTTCAAATTGGGAAGTATTTCAGTCATAATGTATTGATGGTGAAGGTCCTATTTTAAGATTCAAAGAAAAAGAATAAAAATATTCTGTATACAACAGAATATCTTCCTATCCAAAGTCAACATAGAGATTGACTAACAGTCTCCTAGTTGATAAGATTAACAAAACTTAAGATATATTTAAAATTTTGCATTGGATGATGTAAGATTAACAATCTTCGCATAGGGCCTCCCTGGTAGCGCAACCAGTTAGGATGCAGCCTGTGGGGCTGTCCGCAGCCTCTGCGGCATGGGTTCGATCCCCGGCCTGCCAGGGAGCAATCCACATGGCACTGCAGACCTCTCCTGACTCGCCCACTGCTCCCCTTAGCAGTGTACTTCAGTCAGTCTGCCTGTTCTGCTCCCCACTCTGTCTCTGGTGAATCCTCTCGCACCCCACACCTCTGGTCTGTGCCCCAGCTCTTGTATGCATGAATGAATGAGTCTTTAAAAAAAAAAATCTTAGCATATAAAGAACTTTTAAAAGTGAATAAAAAAATCTATTAAGAAAGGGGTAAAGGTAGGAAGAGGTAATTCTCAAAAGAAATAATACAAATAACAGGTAAACATAAAGAATACCCTCTAACCTTGCAGTCAATGAAAAAACTATAAGCTAAAGCAAATTAAACCTCAGAAGAAGGTAAGGGCCCTTATCTAGCACTATCTGGGAGAAAGACCTTGAATTTAAAAGACCTGAGAATTTCAATACAAGGTGAGGAGTTCCTTTATTCTATGGCATTGACCTTTTGACAGATTCACCTTGGCATGGATAAATTGTGCCCAAGAGTGATCCATCTCCCTTTACTCTAGTTCTTTTTTTCCAAGTGTAATAAATTCTCTACCTTCCTTTTTAATCCAGCTTATACTCATAGCTTTATAAACCTATTGTAGGTACAACCTATTTTCTACTTTTCTTTTTTAAATAATTTTATTAAGGTAACATTGGTTTCCAACACTCTGTATGTTAAGAAATACAGGATCCCGGACCTCCATGGTGGTGCAGCGGTTGAGCGCTGGGTTGCGAAGCTGCCCGCAGCCTCTGCAGCCCTGGTTTGATCCCCGGCTGCTCCCAGGCCACCAGAGGAGGGTCCTACATGGCGCGCAGACCTCTCCAGCCATCCGCTGCTCCCCTCAGCAGTGTACTTCGGTCCTTCTGCCTGCTCTGCTTCCCGCTCTGGCTCTGGTGAATTCTCTCACCCTCCCGCACTTCTGACTGTACCCAGTGCTTGTATAAATAAATAAATAGATAGATAAATAAATAGATAGCTAAATAAATAAAGTCCACAATTAAAAAAAAAAAGGAAATACAGGATCCCACCTCTTTAGATGTATGTTACCACATCACACCACACCTGCCACCAAGGCATCCATAGTCCTCCACCATAGTCTACTTTGCCCCCTCTCACCCTTAGTCTCCACCATCCCGCTCTGGTAGACTCAGTTTTACCATCAGATTTCTAGGGTTTTTTTTGGCTGGGTTTTGTCTGACTATTTTCTTTCTCTATTTTCCAAAGTCAAGTCAGGTGGATACCAGGCCCTGGTCAACAGTGACTTACTAAAAATAGGAAGTACTATACTATGAAATTTGCTGAACTATCCAGCAAGTTGCTCTGTTACTGTTGACATCTTCAAAGTGCAAGAAAGAATTCAGAGACTTTCAGAGTGAAATAACAGAAAAGGATGATGGGAGATGAGTGATGAAACTCTTATTACCTCACAAAAACTGCTATGTATGCCTGGACTGTTGAGTAGACAAGCTTGCCAGAGGGACAATGTTAAAGCACTCTGAGGGCCAACGGTGATACTTTGTTGTTCTCAAAATAGATTCTGAAATTGCTGGGCCCTGTTGAAACTCTCTAGAGAGATCAGAGAAAGACACTGACATGGTGAAGGAAAAGAAGCTGCTAGCCATCATCAGCCTTTGCTGATGACAAGATAAAGAAAAGGAGGGATAAGTCATATGCCAAGAACATAAGAAGCAGCTTTCTAGATAGGAATACACCGAGAGGAACAGAGACGCTAGCTCCATGACAGGTCCCAAGATGAGGGGAACAAGGTACTAAGACTTGCCAGATATTGGAAGGCCATGGCTTCTTAAAATACCTTCCAGTTGATTGATACGCTTGTTCTTGAGGTCTAGGAGTTGATTCAACCTCTCCAGTTTTTCTGTGTGCTCTTTATTTTCATTATCGGATTTTGACATCATTGCTTCCAGTTCCTCCTGAAACAAAATAATGTCTGAACTTTTCTATCTCAGTGGCCCAGAACCAAAGAGCCCAGATAAAAAGGTGACATTTGTTGGGTAGTAGAGACTCCATTATCTCCTTAGCAGGGCAGATTCATCCACTAGAAAAAGGCTTGGGTTCCTCAAAGACCCCTCCAGGACAAGTTGCGCTATCAGAGCCATATGGTAGTATTTTCCTGGGATTGGCAAATTTTGAACCCAGAAGCTTCACACCTGCCATTTTCATTAGCTGGCCCCTTCACTAGCTTCTATTGCCAAGGTGCCATGAACATGGGTGAGTCCTCAAGGTCTTCAAAGGACAGCCCATTCTGTGTTTGCAGGGGACAGTATATCACTGCATCAGCCCTACAAACTCGGGGCTTGCTTCATTCCCAGTCTTGTGAGTGGTTCCCATGTGCCCATGTATCTATCCCCTTCCTGGACCATCGTTTCTTGCACCTGATAACACACGTTGATTTTACGTTGCAGAATAAGCATGTCCCTGGTCTTTTCTAATTCCAATGTGGTCTCTGCATGAGATTCTTTCAATTCACTTAAAATCTGGGACAGTTTGTTTACTTCTTCATTTGTTGGTTTGCAGGGCTAAAGAGGAAAAAGCATAATAAAAGGGAGTATAAATAATAAGTACATGAATAACTACTCTCCATAAAGCTCTTGTTAGTTTATAATACTATTTATTTACTCCAAAATGTAAATGAGGGACCTTCCTGGTGGCGCAAGGGGTTAAAATGCAACCTATGAAGCTGTCCGCAGCCGCTGCAGCATGAGTTCGATCCCTGGCCAGGGAGCTACCCACATGGCGCAGACCTCTCCTGACTCATCCGCTGCTCCCCTCAGCAGTGTGTTTCAGTAGATCTGCCTGTTCCATTCCCAGCTCTGTCTCTGGTGAATCCTCTTTTTTTTTATTTTTTTTTTATTTTTTTTTTTTTATAGAGGCATGTTTATTTATTTATTTATTTATTTATTTATTTGTTTGTTTGTTTGTTTGTTTGTTTGTACATGCACTGGGTACAGTCAGAAGCGTGGGAGGGTGAGAGAATTCACCAGAACCAGAGCGGGGAGCAGAGCAGGCAGAAGGACCGAAGTACACTGCTGAGGGGAGCAGCGGGCGGCAGGAGAGGTCTGCGCGCCATGTGGGACCCTCCTCCGGTGGCCGGGGAGCAGCCGGGGATCGAACCGGCGCTGCAGAGGCCGCGGGCAGCTTCGCAACCCAGCGCTCAACCGCTGCGCCACCGGGGAGGCCCTCTGGTGAATCCTCTTACCCTCCCTCCCCACCTCTGGCCTGTAACCAAATTCTTGTATACATAAATAAATAAATCTTTTTAAAAAATGTAAATGAGGACTCCTATTATTTCCCAAGTGCTCTCTCCTTTAATTCCTCATGTTCAGTAGCAATAGTCAGGAAGTTGTACACCCTGTAAAGGTTATTTGATCTTCAACAGATCATTTCATCTCTGACTCTGAAAAAAAGAGTCTACATTTTATCACTTGTAGAGGGTGGGGGAATATAATATAATATAATTCAGTTAGTTTTCTAATCCCTTCTCTAGGGATATTTAACAGAGATCTACTGTAGAGGGGACTTGTTTGATTAAAGGTACTCTTACCTCTACTTCAGTGGTCTCTTGGATTGGAACTGGATAAGAGGCTGGTTCAGATTGACTGTCTGGAGATTGGGAAGTTATATCTTCAGTCTGCAGGAGTTCTAATTCCTGGTTATGCTGCTGTAGTTTTTTGGTGACTTCAAGCATCAGATCCTTTTGAGCTAGAAAAAATAATCCAGAAAGTTGAAACTCTGCAATTCTCAGTAACCATGGTCAGAGTTGGGCCAAGTGAAAATTAAATCTTCCCACTAATGTTAACTCATTTTAAAAATATGCCCTGGGCCTCCCTGGTGGCGCAAGGGGTTGAGCACCACACTATGAAGCAATCCACAGCCTTTGCAGCAGAGTTTGATCCCTGGCCGGCCAGAGAAAAACCCACATGGCACAGCAGACCTCTCCTGTCTTGCCCGCTGCTCCCTTCAGCTGTGTATTTCAGTCAGTCTGCCTGTTCAGCTCTCCATTCTATCTCTGGTGAATCCTCTCACCGTCCTGGATCTCTGGCCTGTGACCTAGATCTTGTATGCATAAATAAATCTTTAAAAAAATTTTTTTTAATTAAAAAAAAAAATGCCCTTGAGGCCTCCCTGATGGCACAGGGGTTCAAGACACAGCACTATCAAGTTATCACCAGCCACTGCAGCATGAGTTTGATCCCTGGCCAGGGAGCTGACCCATATGGTACAGCAGACCTTTCCTGTCTCACCCACTGCTCCCCTCAGCAGTGTATTTCAGTCAGTCTGCCTGTTCTGCTTCCCACTCTGTCTCTGGTGAATCCTCTCACCCCTCCACAGCTCTGGCCTACACCCCAGTTCTTGTATATATAAATCAATAAATCTTAAAAAAATATGCCCTTGGGCCTCCCCGGTGGCGCAGAGGTTAAGCACTGGGTTGCAAAGCTGCCCGCAGCCTCTGCAGCGCTAGTTCGATCCCCGGCTGCTCCCCGGCCACCGGAGGAGGGTCCCACATGGCGCACAGACCTCTCCTGCAGACCTCTCATGCCACCCGCTGCTCCCCTCAGCAGTGTGCTTCGGTCCTTCTGCCTGCTCTGCTCCCTGCTCTGGCTCTGGTGAATTCTCTCACCCTCCCCCGCCTCTGACTGTAAGTTTGTATAAATAAATAAATAAAAATAAATCTTAAAAAAAAAAAATGCCCTTGGGGCCCAATGGCTTAGAGTAGAGGAATATGGGTACTTTGATGGTAGGGTGGCATGGTAACATACATCTGAGGAGGTGTGACTCTATTCTCCTAAATCATGTACACTGTTGTAAACCAATGTTACTTCAAATAAATAAATGAAAATTTATCCTTAAAGAAGCAATATTCTCTTATTTTTAAAAAAGGTAGTTCTAGCTTATTGACCCAGTAAAATGAACTGACACTTGCAACCAAAAAACAAAACAAAAAACACCTACAGAACTGTAGAGTAGAAAGGACAACAAAATCAGAAATTAAAAAAAAAGAAACAGCTACATGAGGGACAGTTACTTCCAAACCAGTATCTCACTGATTGCTCCTCCACTCCATTCTTTTTTTTTTCAAAGATTTGTCCTTATTTATTTATGAATACAAGAACTGGGGTGTAGGCCAGAGGTGCAGAGGGTGAGAGGACTCACCAGAGACAGAGTCGGGGGCAGAATGGGCAGATCTACTGACATACACTGCTGAGGGGAGCAGTGGGTGAGACAGGAGAGGGCTGCTGTGCCATGTGGGTTAGCTCCTTGTCAGGGATTGGACTCACGCTGCAATGGCCGGCCGTACTCTGATAGCTCTGAGATCCCAACCCCTATGTATCCAGGAAGGCACTCCTCTCCATTCTGACTTCTAAGCTATTGATTCTCTGTGGCATTCACCCCCACTCCCAACCTAACCTGGAGATGGGGAGGAAAATAAGTACATAGGCATTTTTGTGTGTGTGTTTTAGGGAATGGTGATTAGTGTTTAGTGTGATAAGTTCATAATTATGCATTACAGAGAGGGTTTACATTAAATCCTAAAGTCCTAAAAATATTTCACTTGTACTTGAGACATACTACAAGGTCCTGAACATGTGCTTCTCAGCTTTCATAGTTTCTGCCTCTATTTTTCTTCATGTCATGTTTCTTTTCCTTCACTCTTCTATGTGAACATACTAGAATCTGATTAAATATAAGTTTAATAAACCTAACAGTAAGGCCCAGGTTAGCAAAAAAGAAGTGAGATGAAGATCTCTTAGACAGTATTTAAAAGTCTTTACAATAACGGGCCTCCCTAGTGGTGCAAGGGGTTAAAATGCAACTGTGGAGTTGTCTACAACCACTGCAGCGGGGGTTCGATCCCCCGCCAGGGGGGCTGCCCACATGGCGCAGCAGATCTCTCCCCTCAGCAGTGTATTTCAGTCGATCTGCTTGTTCTGTTCCCCACTCTGTCTCTGGTAGATCCTCTCACCCCGACCCCATGCCTCTGGCCTATACCCCAAGTTCTTGTATGCATAAATAAATAAATCTTTTAGGAAAAAACAGGTCTTCACAATAACTATCACCATGATCCAAAAGTTAAGACAGAAAGAAATGGTAGTGGTAACCAGAAGCTGTAGTTTAGATCTCAATTTCAGGCAGTAAGTACTAATAAAAAGGAAAAAGAAAAAGTTTCTCATCACCCTAAAATTATTGATAAGAATAAAAAATAGAAAAATTATTTTTCAATACATTTGATAAAGGGGCTATTTAAAATATATAATAAATTAAGAATTAGCATCCTCTCAAATATGAAGTCATTAATAGGAAAAAATATGTGAGTAAGGTAGGTGTCATGCTTTCTTGATGGTAAATTTGATTTGATTGCCAATGTTCTTATTCTAGTTATCTGTGACTCACACAAAAATAGGATCAAGTGAGGGGAACGGAAAAACGCTGGTCCAAGTTCTGTCTCCCAAACCAGATGTAGAATATGCCTCATTTGAGAGAGCTCTTCAAGGCCTGACCTACCTTGCTCTATGGACAGCTGAAGTAAGACTTCCTCCTTTTCTTCCAGCTGCATATCCGGCTGATGCTGCAACTGGGAAACATTCTGCTCTTGCTGTTCTCCCTCCAGCTCGTTGCTCAACTGAGGCTGATTACTGCTGTCCAGCATGCTTAAAATGAGAAGCAATTAGGGAGCAAGGTGAGAGTCGTCACATGGATAACAGAAGGTGTATGATAAGACACCTTTATTACACAGTTTTAGCATCTCCTGAGTCTAGTTCATCATTCATTCCCATAATGTTTTTTCTGTCCCTGCCTTATCTGTAACTGTCATTTACCAACTGCCTTGGAACCTTTGGATCCTACTGAGGAAAGAACCCAAGTCAAATCTATTTCCCAAGGAAGTTCTCCAGCATGATGGCTTTCTTTAGGCCAGTAACTGTATACCAAGACATTCTCATATCTGCTGGATTAGAAGTGAGGAACAAAGTATTTACCTTTCCTTACGCCATTATCTACTTACCTTCACCAATGGTCTTGCCTAAGAGTCAGATTAAAAAGTTGACACTGGAAGGCAAAAACTAAACATTTTAATAACTGTATCCTACACACCATTACTGCTAGCTGTCAGAGCTGACCCATGGTCAGTTCTTTTCAAAAGTGAAGAGATGTTGATAAACAATTATTTCTGCTTATGTCTTTTGCAATTTTTTGTTTTAATAAATGTAGTCTAAAAGTGGCTTAACTTAGTATTAAGAGTTCTTGGCACTTCCTAACCGCATATTACATGTTGATCCAAGCAGATAATGTTCTGAATGATGAAGAAAATGGTAATGTTTGTCACAGAGAGTCTTCAAGAGGATCACCCCCACACTATTTCACTGTGCTGAAAAGCTGCAGTTGTTCCCAGGATGCGCCTATACAACCTCCCCAATCTACCCTCTGCTGATTTCAAGTAAGTCAGAGGCACTTTTAATTTTTTAAAACTGTCAAATATTTTTATTTTTAAAAAAATTTTTTTAAAGATTGATTGATTTATGCAGACAAGATTGGAGGTACAGGCCAGAGGTGTGGGGGGCAGGGGAGGACGTTGAGAGGATTCATCAGAAACAGAGTGGGGAACAGAACAGGCAGACCGACTGACCGAAATACACTGCTGAGGGGAGCAGCGGGCGAGTTATGAGAGGTCTGCTACGTCATGTGGGTTGCCTCCTGGCCGGGGATCAAACTCATGCTGCAGTGGCTGCGGTTAGCTTCATAGGTTGCATTTTAACCCCTTGCGCCACCAGGGAGGCCCTAAAACTGTCAAATATTTTTAATTTAAAAATTAAGACAGGGGGCCTTCCCTGGTGGCGCAGGCGGTTGAGCACAGTGCTATGAAGCTGTCCACAGCCTCTGCAGTGCCCGTTTGATCCCGGCAGGCCGGTGAGGGTCCCACAAGGTGCGGCAGACCTCTCCTGTCATGCCTGCTGCTCCCCTCAGCAGTGTATTTCACAGTCTGCCTGTTCTGTTCCCCACTCTTTCTCTGGTGAATCCTCTCATCCTCCCGTGCACCTGGCCTGTGCCCCAGTTCTTGTATAAATAAATAAATCTAAAAAAAAAAAAGAATAAAAGTGAAGGTGCCTCTACGCCCTACTCCATTCCTTTCATCTCATTAAAGGCTTGTGGATTTATACATTTATACAAAACACAAATTAAGTCAGAGTAAGCATATTCTTTTGCTAGATCATTGTTTTTTTAATAATATATATCTTAATATAGATCCATCTCATTTTTAGCAGCTTCATAGTACTTTATTGTGGTTATGCAATAAGATTTATTTAGTCAATCCCTTAACAAAGGAAATTTAGATAGTTTTTAATTTTTTTTACTGTTACTAACAATGCAGCAATTAACAACCTTATTATACATATACCTTTGCATGTATATAAGAGGCTTTCTTTAATTTTGATTCCAAAATAAAAGGAATTCCTGGCACAAAAGATAGCATGGTTAACACTTGGACAGATAGTGTCAAATTCTCTTACTTACACTGCACCAACTTATATTCTCACTAAAATTGTATCAGTATTGAGTACCAGCTCCCTTCACATCCTTATCAACATTAGGTATTATTTTGAAAAACTGGAAGAATTTTTCATAATTGCTCTTTATCCCAAGCAATGTTCTGGGACCCAAGTTTGGTACTCACTTTTCTAAGAGTTTGTCATAATTGTCAATCAGCAATTTGCGTTCTTTTTCCAAATCTTCAACTCTCTCCTGAAACTAAGAATGATAGTAGAGTGCTTAAGATCCAATTTTAAATCCATTGCATTGCACAAGTTTCCCCTTTTCCCATTGCAGGATAGGGTTTAGGTGGGAGCTTTTTATACTCATCTCTTATGTCTATGAGGAGACATTCAACTACAAAGGTTAGAACCAAATGAAGGTGGAATAGAAATTTTTATTGGAATTAGTAAGGCTTTTCTGAAAGCTTTCATAGTTTCTATTGTCAGAAATGCAGCAGAACTTTGTAAAATAGTAAAGACTAGAGAACAGACATAAGTATAAGGCTTAGTTTTTCCCCAATGGTATAATCTTGAGCAAAGTGTTTAAACACTTACAGCCCCATATTTCTCATTTGAAAACACATTACTAACATACACATTTTGAGGGGCCTCCCTGGTGGTGAAAGGCATTAAGTCTCAGCACTGAGCTATCCACAACCGCGGCAGCACCAGCTAGATCCCTGGCCAGGGAGCTAACCCACATGGTGCAGCAGACCTGTCTCACCTGCTGCTTCCCTCAGCAATGTATCTCAATAGATCTGCCTGCTCTGCTCCCCACTCTATGTCTGGTGAATCCTCTCACCCGCTGCACCTCTGGCCTGCACCCTAGCTCTTGTATGAATAAATTAATCATCTTTAAAAATAAAATAAAAAACACATTTTGATATCTCTAAAATTGGAATGTAACTTACAATGATGATGTTTTCTAATTATTATTGCTATTTTACCTCCTTCAATGTTATCTGCAGAATAGACACATCTTCTAGTTGCCTCTTTAAGCTCACAGCCTTCATGCGCTCTTCCTTCAGTTCTGCCCTGAGCTCATTCACTTGGCTGAGGAGGGCATCATGGGCTGCACTCAGGATTCCTTGATTCTGGGGCAAGAGGAAAGTTGCTCTGGTAATGGTCATATCATTCAGCAAGAATAATCGCAAGAATAATCTCTGTTATTCTTGACATCCATTCCCTAGTGGATGTCACAAAATATAGCTTTGATTAATAGCATATTGCCTTTAAACTTGTTTGTCACCAGGCCTCTCTGGTGGCACAAGGCATTAAGTCTCAGCACAATGAAGCTATCTGCAGCCACTAAAGCATGAGTTCAATCCCCAGCCAGGGAGCTACCCACATGGTGCAGCAGACCTCTCCTGTCTCGCCCGCTGCTTCCCTCAGCAGTGTATTTCAGTAGATCTGCCTGTTCTGCTCCCCACTCTGTCTCTGGTGAATCCTCTCACACACACCCCATCCCACACCTCTGGCCTACAACCCAGCTCTTGTATGCATTAATAATAAATCTTTATTTCTTCACCTACTAAACATAGAGCTTCCATATGATCCAGCAATTCCACTCCTAGGTATTTACCCAAAGGACACAGAAACATCAATTCCAAAGAGCACCTGCACCCCTATGTTTATAGCAGCACTATTTACAATAGCTAAGCTTTGGAAACAACCCAAATGCCCAAAAATAGATGACTGGATCAAGAAGATGTGGTACATATACACCATGGAATATTACTCAGCATTCAAAAAAGATAGACTCATGCCATTTGCAGCAACATGCATGGCGCTGGAAGGGATCATGCTCAGCGAAATAAGCCAGAAAGAAAAAGAAAAATACCGGATGGTCTCACTCATAGCAGGAATCCAGAAAACTTAAATAAGGGACCAGGAAAAAGAATAACTATAAGAAAGAAAATATCAAAATCAACAAACAACTATGAACCAGAGACACTCTATGGGGGGTAGGGGGCAGGGAAAGGAGGGATTGGGGTCAAAATAAGGGGGTTGTAATTGTATGGGGAATATAAAAATAAAATTTAAATAAATAAATAAATAAATCTTTAAAATAAAAAAATAGAATAAGTAAAACATTTTTTTTAAAAGATTTATTTATTTATTTATACAAGCACTGGGTACAGTCAGAAGCACGGGAGGGTGAGAGAATTCACCAGAGCCAGAGTGGAGAGCAGAACAGGCAGACTGATGAAGTACACTGCTGAGGGGAGCAGAGGGTGGCAGGAGAGGTCTCTACACCATGTGGGACCCTCGCCCAGGGGCTGGGGATCGAACGGGCACTGCAGAGGCTGCGGGCAGCTTTGCAACCCAGTGCTCAACTGCCTGTGCCACCAGGGAGGCCCAGAGTAAGTAAAAATTTTAACAAGAGGGCCTCGTCAGTGGCATAGTGGTTGAGTGCTGGGTTGTGAAGCTGCCTGCAGCCTCTGCAGCACCGGTTCGATACCCAGCTGCTCCCCAGCCACCGGAGAAGGGTCCCACATGGCACAGACCTCTCCTGCTGCCCGCTGCTCCCCTCAGCAATGTACTTCAGTCCTTCTGTCTGCTCTGCGCCCCGCTCTGGCTCGGTGAAATCTCTCACCCTCCTGCACTTCTGACTGTACCCAGCGCTTGTATAAATAAATAAATAAATCTTTAAAAAAAATTTTTTTAATGAGAAAACCAAGCCCATAGCACTAAGTCACTGGCTCAGAATAACATAGTTAACAAGAGGCAGAGGCTGAGTTTGTTTTCCCAGCCAGGGAGCTAACCAACATATGGCACAGCAGACCTCTCCTGTCTTGCCTGCTATTCCCCTTAACAGTGTATTTGAGGGCCCTCCTTGGTGGCACCAGGTGTTAAGCACCACACTATGAAGCAATCCAAAGCCTCTGCAGCATGAGTTCAATTTCGGGCCGGCCAGGGAGCAACCCACATGGCACAGCAGACCTCTCCTGCCTCGCCCGCTGCTCCCCTCAGCAGTGTATTTCAGTCAGTCTGCCTGTTCTATTCCCCACTCTGTGTCTGGTGAATCCTCTCACCCCCTGCATCTCTGGCCTGTACCCCAGCTCTTGTATGCATAAATAAATAAATCTTTTAAAAAAACAACAATAGTGTATATGAGGGCCTCCCTGGTGGTGCAAGGGGTTAAACACCGTACTACGCGAAGCAATCCACAGCCTCTGCAGCACAAGTTCAAGCCCCAGCTGGCCAGGGAGAAACCACATGGTGCAGCAGATCTCTTTTGTCTTGCCCACTGCTCCCCTCAGCAGTGTATTTCAGTCAGTCTGCCTGTTCTGTTCCCCACTCTGTCGCTGATGAATCCTCTCACCGCCCCCCCTACATTTCTGGCCTGCACCCCAGCTCTTATATGCATAAATAAATCTTTAAAAAAAAACAACAGTGTATTTGAGTAAATCTACCTTCACCACTCTGTCTCTGGTGAATCTTCTCACCCCCTCTACCTCTGGCTTATATCCCAGTTCTTATATGCATAAATAAATAAAATAAATCTTTAAAAAATAAAATGTATTTCCAAAATATTTCAGACATTAGAAAAGAATAAAATGATATCTCTGGGGAGAAAATTGATCAGGTTATTAACTTATTAAAACATTTGTCTAGCTCTCCATTGCATATAGGACAAAATCTAAGTTCTTAATAAGACATGCCTGACATGGTCCCTGAAATTTCTCACCTCTGTGCCTTTGTCTATGCTTATCCCCTAGAAATTCTTTGTTGTCTTTGCCACCTGCAAATCTTTTAGTATTTTCCAGTATTCAGTTATCAATACATTCCCTTATGAATCCTTTTTGTAATCTGTACACCATTCTGTGGTAGATCTGACTATTCTCTCTTTTTTCAAATTTTTTTAAAGATTTATTTATTGATTTTAAAGATTTCTCTTTTTTTTTATTTATACAATAGCTGGGGTACAGGCCAGAGGTGCAGTGGGTAAGAGGATTCACCAGAGATAGAGCAGGAAATAGAACAGGCAGATTGACTGAAATACACTGCTGAGGGGAGCAGCAGGAGAGACAGGAGAGGTCTGCTGCGCCATGTGGGTATACACCTGGCCAGCTGGGAATTGAACCTGTGCTGCTAGGCTGTGTACAGCTTCACAGCGCAGCGTTCAACCTGCTGCGCCACCAGGGAGGCCCTATTCTCTCTTTTTTTAAAGGTTTATTTTTATCTATTTATGTATACAAAAACTGGGTGTAGGTCAGAGGTGCAGGGGGTGAGAGGATTTATCAGAGACATAGTGGGGAACAGAGCAGGCATATCTACTGAAATACAGTGCTAAGGGGAGCAGCAGGTGAGACAGGTGAGGTCTGCTGCGCCATGTGTGTCAGCTCCCTAGCCAGGGATCCAACTCGTGCTGCAGTGGCTGGCGATAGCTGCATATGAGACTTCAACCCCTGCATCACCAGGGAGGCCCCCTGACTATTCTCCTTTTTTGTCTTCTCCCTTTTACATCCTGTGTGTGGATAGTTGTATCTGTTTCCATCTTGTTCTTTTATCCTGTAGTTACTTGAAGTTAGGAGCTGACTTACTTATCTTTGTAATCTTTGCATCCATTGCTTTGCATAGTTCCTGGTACTTAATAGCTATTCAATAAAAGAATTGTGCCAATCTACTACTTAGATCATTGATGCCCTATTTTCATAATTTCTACTGTATGGTAATGAGAAAGAACATGAACATTGGTATCAGGTAAACTTGGGCTCAAATTCTGCTCTGCTCCTTGCTATTTTTATGACTTGAGCAGGTTACTTAACTTCTTTGAGACTTTGTTTCTTCATCCATTAAATGTTCTTACCTTGAGAGCTCTTGTCAAGCATAAATGAGATCTTGACTATGAGTATCTAGGACACAGTTCAACATGTAGAGAGCCCTTAAGAAAAGACTCTGGTTTATTTCCCTTCCTTTTTGTCTGTAACTGTTCTTGGCTTCCCAACTTAATTACATTGTAGTTGTGGTCGTGGCTGGGACCTTAACCCTGATACAAATTAACCCCACTTAATTCCACTTTAGCAGACAGGGCTTGTGTCTTCTTCCAATAGAGAGATAATGGAATGTATTGCAAAAAGAAGAGATTCTGAGCGTAAGACTTGGCTTTGAATAATACCGACCAGTTGTGTGATCTTAGGCACTCCCACATGTAAAAGGGAGAACATAATATTAACAAAAGTATACCTTATGATCACAACTCACCTCTTGAACTGTTGTTAACTGTGCTTTTGTTACTGCCAATGAGGTATTCCTTTCATGTAAGAGCTTCTTAAGTCGAATCAATTCTATATTTTCCCTAATAGAAGTTCTAGAGAAAGAAAACAGTGCTAAAATCGTCTGTGTATGATTGGGGTAGATAGTTAAGCACTTCCACCCTCCTCCCCCAGATTCTCAGAGCAGTGAAACCATCTGTATGATACTATACTGATAGATAGGTCGTTATACATTTCTCCAAACCCACAAACTGTAGAGTATCAAGAGTGAACTCTCAGAAAACTAGATACTTTGAGAGTTGAATATTGAAACATTGATTTTAAAGATTTATTTTTATTTATTTATGCATACAAGAACTGGGGTGTAGGCCAGGGGTATGCAGGGGTGAGAGGATTCACCAGAGACAGAGTAGGAAGCAGAAAACACGGATTGACTGAAATACACTGCTGAGGAGAGCAGCAGGCAAGATAGGAGAGGTCTGCTGTGCCATGTGGTCAGCTCCCTGGCTGGGGATTGAACTCATGCTGCAGTGGCTGGCGACAGCTTGATAGTACTGAGAATTTAACCCCTGCGCCACAAGGGAGGCCCTGAAATGCTGATTTTAAAAGTATAATTTTAAGTTCATTCATTGTAACAAATGTATCACTCTAGAGTGGGTTATTGAGAGTGGGAGAGGTTGTTTGCATGTGATGGCAGAGATGTGTATGGGAAATCTGTACTTTCTGTTCAATTTTACTGTAAACCTAAAACTGCTCTAAAAAAATTAAGTGTATTAAAAAAAGTCCTTCACGGGGCCTCCCCAGTGGCGCAGCGGTTGAGCGCTGGGTTGTGAAGCTGCCCGCAACCTCTGCAATGCCAGTTCGGTCCCCGGCTGCTCCCCAGCCACCAGAGGAGGGTCCCACATGGCGCGCAGACCTCTCCTGCCGCCCGCTGCTCCCCTCAGCAGTGTACTTCGGTCCTTCTGCCTGCTCTGCTCCCCACTCTGGTTCTGGTGAATTCTCTCACCCTCCCGCGCTTCTGACTGTGCCCAGTGCTTGTATAAATAAATAAATAAATCTTAAAAAAAAAAAAAAAGAAAAAGAAAAGTCCTTCACGAACTGATGCACAGAGAGGGCTGAAAACCTGATCAGATAAGGAAGATAATAGTTTTCCTTCTGTGAATTGATGCAGCAAATCTAATATACATAAACATCCCGTGAGGGTAATGTAGCTTTTTTTTTTTTTAAAGATTTATTTATTTATTTATACAAGCACTGGGTACAGTCAGAAGCACAGGAGGGCGAGAGAGTTCACCAGAGCCAGAGCGCGGAGCAGAGCAGGCAGAAGGACTGAAGTACACTGCTGAGGGGAGCAGCGGGCGGCAGGAGAGGTCTGCGTACCATGTGGGACCCTCCTCCAGTGGCCGGGGATCGAACCGGCGCTGCAGAGGCTGTGGGCAGCTTCACAACCCAGCGCTCAACTGCTGCGCCCCCGGGGAGGCCTGGGTAATGTAGCTTTTAACCCACTTGGGACTCCAAGGTCTACTTCTCAGATTGAATTTAACCCCAAACATTTTTTTTTCCCTGAGATAGATAAAAGGTACAAATAAAAATTGCTTACTTTTTCAATTCATTATGGTTGAAGCAAGGAATGCCAAACACCTACCGAAGCTCTGTGGCTTTCTGAGCATACTCCAGAACAGAGTATTTCTCTTCAAAATTTTCATCTTTGGACCATGATTTCTCTGGAGACTTGGCTGGTTCTTTCTCCAGCAGAGTGTTGCTGGTCATAATGCCGGCACTGTTTGGCATACAGAGACCAAAGAGTTTAGTCATAATTACAACTTTCCTGAAAGAAGTTATACTGTTAGAATTAGGAACATTAAACACAAAAAGAAGAAATAGAAACTGCTGTCATAGAGGTTTAGATCTGGGCTCAAACATATTTAAAAAGAACTTAGAGGGGGGCCTCCCTGGTGGCGCAGCGGTTGAGCGCTGGGTTGCGAAGCTGCCCACAGCCTCTGCAGAGCCAGTTCAATCCCCGGCTGCTCCCCGGAGGGTCCCGCATGGGGCAGAGACCTCTCCTGCTGCCCGCTGCTCCCCTCAGCAGTGTACTTCGGTCCTTCTGCCTGTTCTGCTCCCCGCTCTGGCTCTGGTGAATTCTCTCACCCTCCCGTGCTTCTGACTGTACCCAGTGCTTGTGTAAATAAATAAATAAATCTTAAAAAAAAAAAAAAGTTAGAGGGGCTAATATGTGCTATGTGTGGAGCATAATCTTACAAAATACAGCTTTCAAGTGTCAAACAGAAATATAAATGACAAAAAGAGAAACAAAGAGAAAGTAAAAGCAAAAGAGAAACAAAGAGAAAGAAACAACAAAAAGAGAAAGAAAGTAGATACATTATACCTTCCATTAAGGAAAAAAGTGTTTTCCTTTCTCTGGAAGACAGAAAGCTGCTTCTTTTCCATTTTCAAGCAATAAAGTTGGACCTGGACTTAGGGCTCACTTTCCCTTTTCCAATAATGCTGGGAAAAGTTAAAAGTGCCAAAATTTACTTGTCCCCTAAATAATGTATTTCCAATTGAAGCTGAAAGAATAAAGCACAGGATGAATGAAAAGAACTCACAGTTCACTGGGTTCACTGGTTACTTCACCTCTGATTTCTTCATTTGTCACATGCTCCTTGAATGTGGGAGGAGCTGTGTAGCTCAGCCTCTCCCTTGGCTCTGAATGTTTAGACAGAAATGCAAACTGTGACAACAGATTTCTCCAGAACAGCAAGTGCTAGAATTGGAATATCAATTTTTTGAAAGTAGGGAGCCTTGAGGTCTGAGAAAAATCTTCTGTTAACCACTAATTACAAAAAGTTCTCAATCTTTACTTGTGCATAGAAATGCAACTATAGATACAGAAGTCAGTCAGACTACTAATTTGCAAGTTAAGTGAGTATAAATGGGAAGAAAGAAAGGTGCAAGCTTGTCTAGAATAGGAACTGTTGTCCAACTGTAATGCATCTTTATCACTACTACTTGGTATATATGGATACTCAATAATGCTGAGCTGTTAAAGTGAACTGAAATTTAAACTTATTTAATTTTCGACTTTTAGCTTTTTTTTTTTTTTTTTTTTTCATAGATCTGGTTGACTGGAGTGGGAACTTCAAAGTATTGGACTATACTAAACAAAACTTAACACTGAATCCTGAGGATAAATACAAACTCATTTCCATTAACCTAAATGAGGGATAAGAACTAGGTAAAGGAAATGCACACACAACATTTAATTCAGAGTTGGGTTTCACAGCAGTCAGAAATTCTTGGTCACTTGAAACACAGGAAGAGGAGAAAGTGCAACTCTCTCCCAAGGATCACTTATAGCCTAACTTCTAGCCCTGATCTTGAGGAATCTCTGAACCCACGGAATTGTATGAAAAGCTTTGTCTATGTCTAAGTACATTTTTCTTGGGAGAAAGCCTAAACTTTGATCATGATTTCAAAGGAGTCTTCTTCCCCCAATTCTGCGCCAAGGCCAATTAGAAGAGAGATCCATAGTTCCAATAGAAGAATGTGTTTTAATCTCACTGCTTTTCACACCTAATCAGGACATAATGTTATCTCTGTGTCTATATTCTAGGCCTGCTGCAGACTTGACTGCCAAATTTCCCATTTCCCTGGTCTGATTCTCCCGTCAGCAGTACTTCATGGTCAACTGAAGATTTTTTTTTCAACTGAAGATTTTGAACCTGACATCCCACCCAGGAAAATAAGAATTAAGAAAGGTAGAAAGGATTGAGAACAAAAGAACAAAATTGGGTGATAGGCAGGATAAAGCTATGAAGAAGAAAACACAGTGATTAAAAAAAATCAATCATTTCCAGTGTTTTTGCCTTTTGGGGCTTCGGCCCTGATCCGCACCATTCTTGGGTTTCTCCAGCACCTGAGCACCAGCAGAATGGAGCTGTCTGTGTCCTGTGGGGACGCGTGGTTGGGTACGGTATCTTGCAGGGGGGCCAACACTCTGAAACTGCTGTCGCAACCCATGCATCAAGGAGTGCTGGTGCTTGTGGGGACGCTGCCGCCACCCCGTGTTCGGTGGCCTCTTTGTTGGCTCTAAGAGCTGCTCCCCTGCTGCCGCCTCTACCCTCAGGTCTCGGCCCTTGGCAGTCAATCGGAGGATAGTTGTCCTCATCCTGTGGGCAAAAGAGAGCTGGTGACACATGGCTTCTATGACAGTTATTATTTCTACAGTTTATTTGGTGGCAAATAATCATTGATTGGTTGATATAAATTTATCAACTGCAGTCCATTATTTACATTAAAAAACATATTTTGTCCCCAATACACTATTTTTTTTTAAGATTTATTTATTTTATTTATTTATTTATACAAGAACCAGGGTACAGGCCAGATGCATGGGAGGATGAGAGGATTCACCAGAGACAGAGCAGGGAGCAGAACAGGCAAACTGACGAAATACACTGCCGAGGGGAGCAGCGGGCACAACAGGCAAGATCTGTCATGCCATGTCGGACCCTCGCTGGCCGGCCAGGATCGAACCGGCTCTGCAGAAGCTGCGGACAGCTTCACAACGTGGCACTCAACCGCCTGCACCACCAGGGAAGGCCCTACACTGACTATTTGAGGGTAAGCGTCCTGGTTTCTGTCTTTCCCTATTCTGTTATAGTGATCACACACTCAGTTTAGTAAAATATATTGGGGCATTCTGTAATACATGTATGTATTTTTTTAGGTATACACATTTATTACTGTATTAATAAATTATGGATTCTACAAAGCATAAGTAAAAATACTAATTTTTGAAGTGGACATAATTAAATACAAGTATAAATTTTAATGTTTACTTCCTTGCCTCAGTTGTATACACACCCTTATATATGTGCCCAACTTTAAGAATTTGTCCTCCACAGCCTTGTAGACAGAGTCTTATTTATAATGGATAGTCAACCACTACTTGTTATCTTTTTTTAAAGATTTATTTATTTATGCATACAAGAACTGGGGTACAGGCCAAAGGTGTGGGGGGTGAGAGGATTCACCAGAGACAGAGTGGGGAACAGAACAGGCAGATTGACTGAAATACACTGCTGAGGGGAGCAGCGGGTGAGACAGGTCTGCTGTGCCATGTGGGTAGCTCCCTGGTGGGGGATCGAATTCATGCTGCAGTGGCTACAGTGTTTACATCTTAACCCCTTGCACCACCATGGAGGCCCCAATACTTGTTATCTTGATTTAAAATCATGCTTTTTACCATGCATATTGGTTCTAACATTTACTGACTATGTGGTCTTGAGCACGTCATTACTCTTTTCTGCTCAACTTTCTCATCTATGAAAATTGTACCTACCTCATTAGGATATTATAAGAATTAAATAAATTAAATAAATCAAGGAGTGAAATAACTAGATAACTTGCCCAAAAACATGGGGGGGACAGAATCCACTTAAATCAGTCAGTATCTGTAATCTCAAATACTTTTGAGTTACCAAAGAAGCAAGATATTTTAGCAACCTTCTGACTTCCCCAGATTCTCAAGTTCTCCACAATATAAAAGAATCTCTAACTCTGAAGAGTACTATCATACAGTAGAAGTTTGCAATACTATAGATTCTAAATGAAGTTCTGAACCCTCCAGGAGATTACCAATGAGAAAGTAAAAAGCTGCCTTTGACTCTGGGGAATTGGCCTGACATAGCTGGTCCTTAGTGTTGTCTGAACATGGTCTGCTGCTCACTCGAGAGGCCGTGCTGGACATAATCTCACAGAAAACCAACATCAAACAAGGCCATTCTGAGGCCATGATAGCATGATTAGAAAAAAAGGCCACTGCATAATTTTGTCTAAGCACAAATAAAAACTCCTCTCCTGGCTAATTTGAGTGACAGCTAGTTTTTCACCAATTAGAGCTTTAGCCTCACACTAGTCTACACTCCCTATAGACAAGATTTATTGAGATATCCAAATACAGAATTATCTTTGCTTACTGACATTTCCAAATCTGGAGCAAACTCGTTATCTTGGATCCTCCCCCAAATTAGTCAACTGAATGGCCAAATACTATAATGGGTTCTTTCTGAAACACTCATATTGAGATACCTTTACTTCATCATGGCATGTATTTTTTTTTAAAGATTTATTTATTGATGCATACAAGAGCTGGGGTACAGGCCAGAGATGCAGGGGGTGAGAGGATTCACCAGAGACAGTGGGGAACAGAACAAGCAGATTGACTGATATACACTCCTGAAAGGAGCAGCAGGCAAGACAGGAGTGGTCTGTCTCACCATGGAGGTTGCTCCCTGGCCAGCCGGGGATGGAATGCTGTGCTGCAGAGGCTGCGGATTACTTCAGAATGCGATGCTTAACACCTTGCGCCACCATGGAGGCCCATGGTATGCACTGCATTTTCTCTAGCTGCACTAGTAATAGTGTTCAACTACAGGTGTCTATCTGGTGGTCTTTGGCTAGAAGGCATTGACATTAGTATCTCCAAAACATATCCTAGAGATAAAGCCAGGACTTTCAGTACTCTCATTCACCCTCATCTGCTTGCCCACAACCCAGCTCAGATTCCTCTCCGGGTCTACATCCAAAAGATAAACTTTTTTTTTTTTTTAAAGATTTATTTATTTATTTATTTATACAAGCACTGGGCACAGTCAGAAGCGCGGGGGGGCGGGGGGGTGAGAGAATTCACCAGAGCCAGAGCGGGGAGCAGAGCAGGCAGAAGGACCGAAGTACACTGCTGAGGGGAGCAGCGGGCGAGTCAGGAGAGGTCTGCTGTGCCATGTGGGTTGCTCCCTGGCCGGCCGGGGAGGGAACTCATGCTGCAGAGGCTGCGGATTGCTTCATAGTGCGGTGCTTAACCCCTTGCGCCACCAGGGAGGCCCTGATTTTTTTTTTTTTTTTAATGTAATTTAAAGTCTCATCTTTCTTGGCCCTACAGTCTTTGTTCCCTTAGATTTTGGTCATCTCTCCACCCCCCTCACCCCACCTTCCCAACCCTATCCTCTTCTGTGACTAAGGTAGGAGCCTATGGACCTGCCCTCTGTGTTAAAATAGCTCTGCCAATGCTTTGTGACCTGTGGGCACAGTCTATTAATATATTTGGCAAAACAAAAACAAAACTCAACTAAAAAACAGAATAAAGCAATACGGCTTCAAAGATTATTTTTGGAGCTAACCATTCTTGACATAGAAACATTTTCTGGTATAGATATCCCAGCAAAATATATTCCTTTTGTTTAGTTTGGTGCAGTCCTGGGTAGACTTAAGGAGAACTCAAGTTACCTTTTGATCTCATCCTGTTGCTTCCAAGAAAGTTCCTTCACCAATATGTGCTCTTCACGAAGACGAAACAAATTGTCCTCCAGTTCTTCCCGGCTCATCCTGCTCAAAGTTGGCTGACCTTTTATATTCTTACCTAAAATGCCAGGAGAGGGTAAATGGAAATTTTTTTCATATGTAATTTTTTTTTTAAGCCATCAGGTCTCTGCTCATCTTTTTTTTTTTTAAAGCTTATTTTAAAGATTTATTTTATTTATTTATGCATACAAAAACAACTGGGGTGTAGGCTAGAGGTATGGGGTACGCGAGGACTCACCAGAGACAGAGTGGGGAGCAGAACAGGCAGATCTACTGAAACACACTGCTGAGGGGAGAAGCAGATGAGACAGGAGTGATCTGCTGTGCCAGGTGGGTAGCTCCCTGGCCAGCCCTGGCCAGCCAGGGATCGAACTTGGGCTGCAATGGCTGGGGATAGGTTGATAGTTCTGTGTCTTTAACCCCTGCACCACCAGGGAGGACCTTGGGTACTGAATTTACCTTTTGATGTTGGTAGCATCATAAATAACAAGTCTAAGGTGTGTAATAGATCCTTTGATGTTTCATCCACCTGAAGATGTGATGCTATATCAGCTCCCAAGCTGGAAGAGATCCAAGAGAATACCGAAACAAAAGAAAAGGCCAGTCACCGCATGAAACTTAAGGATGTCTTCTGTAGGCTGCACTTAAGTTGCAAAAGGAAATTCTCAGCACATTCATAATGGTATAACATAGTCTTATTTTCTGGTAGTATCAAGAATAAGAGTAAGGCCATGTGGTCTAAAGAGTAAGACAAAGTATTCAATAATGATGACATTATTAAAAATGAAGTCATTTTTTTGAGTATAGAATAAATGCACATCTTTCTGGATCTTTTTTTTTTTTTAAGATTTATTTATTTATTTATACAAGCACTGGGTACAGTCAGAAGCGCGGGAGGGTGAGAGAATTCACCAGAGCCAGAGCAGGGAACAGAACAGGCAGACTGACGGACGAAGTACACTGCTGAGGGGAGCAGCGGGCGCAGCAGGAGAGGTCTGCGTGCCATGTGGGACCCTCGCCGGCGGCCGGGTATCGAACCGGCGCTGCAGAGGCTGCAGACAGCTTTGCAGCCCAGTGCTCAACCGCTGCACCACTGGGGAGGCCCTGGATCATTTTTTTAAGTGTCTGCTAAGTCTGGAATCTAACAACCATCCCCTCTCTATGGGAAATGAACCTCCGACCCCCACATCCCACTCCATTTACAGGGACTGACCCCCCAGGTATTTCTATGATCCAGTTCCCACAGTCACTGTTCATTAGACCAGTATAGACAACAACCCCAAGATGCCTCAGTAAGATTCTCCTTCCCAGAAGGATGAAAATGGCTGTAAGAGTGCTAAATTAGACTCTGAAGAGAGCTATTATGTAAATTCGGGAGTTCTAAAATGGCCATAGTCTATTCTGTAGTTTGAATAACCGGGGAAGTCCAATATGTAGATTTGCCTCATTCTTTTTCCTGGATGATAGTATCTAATCTTCTGGTTGTAAGTACTATGTACACATACACATTGCTTCCAAAATTTATTATCTCCAGCCCTGACCTTCAGATTTATACAGCTTCCTCTCTAAACATTTCTACTTACATATCTATTAGATATTTCAAACTCACCTGTTCTACATAAGGGATTGTGATTTCTCTCTAAAACCTGAACTTTCCCCTACCTGTCTTTATCGCCATAAAAGGCATTACTACCCGGCCAGGTCCTAAAGATTTGATTCCTCCTTTCCATCATCCATTAACAAATCCTCCAATAATTCCTAAAAAATATCTGTCTTCACAGCTACTACTGTAACTCAAGCCACCTATGTCTCTTACCTCAACATCATACTATTTTTTATTTTCCTAATGCTCTCCCTATTTTCTTCTCCCCAGGCCCTTCCCATTAATCCTCCCTGAAACAGAGAGTGTTTCTATAAAACAACCCTGGTCATAGTATTTCCTATTTAAAATTCTCCAATGACCCTCCTTAAAATTTAAAATAATATCTAAACTCCCTATCATGGGCCACATAGCCCTCTACAATCTGATCTCCTTTCTACTTCTCAGTTCACACCGTGTTCATTTCTCACCTCTGGCCTCCTCTCTCCTCTTCCACCATCATTGTCCTTCTCACCTGAGGGCCTTTGTACTTCATTGGAATTCTCTTCCCCTTGCTCTTTACAAGGCTGATTCTTTCTCATCCTTCAGTTCCTCATCATTTTTTCATCTGCAATAAAACTTTCTCTGACTTTTACTTTTATAATTAAAGTGAATACTTCCTTAGTTATACATGTTGCCCTGTTTATTTCCCCTAACATTTAACATACTCAGAAATTACCTTCATTTATTTACACTTTTTTATTGTCTATTTCCTCTCATTGAAAAGAATGAGAAAGTTAGTTCTCGATTACCTCTATATACGCAGCACCCAAACAGCTCTTGGATCATAGCAGGCATCTCATAAATATATAGTGTATAAATGAATAAATGTACAAGAAAATTAAGAGAGAGTATGACACTGAGTGACTGAGATGAGTCAAAAGCTTTTTGATCTTGATTCTAATCTTTTCCAAAGCCTGTTTCTGTTTCTGCCCTTAGGTACTACAGAAGAGTCCTATGTCCAGTAGAGCAAATTCCCCCTTTCTGCTGAAACTAGTTTGACTGGTCAACCAAAGCAGCTCATCCACAAGCTTTTTGAACAAAGAAGTATAAAGAAACAAGTAAAAAGCATGACAGAGAAATTTTATTACTAGGAGAGACTGTTAACATTTTGTTGATCTACTTTCCAGACAATTTAACTTGAATTGGGTCATTCGTATTCTGCAGCTTTTTACTTTTTTTTTTTTTTTTTTTACTTTTTTTTTTTTTATAGAGGCATGCTTTTTTTTTATTTATTTATTTGTTTGTTTGTTTTGTTTATACATACACTGGGTACAGTCAGAAGCGCGGGAGGGTGAGAGAATTCACCAGAGCCAGAGCGGGGAGCAGAGCAGACAGAAGGACCGAGGTACACTGCTGAGGGGAGCAGCGGGCGGCAGGAGAGGTCTGCGCGCCATGTGGGACCCTCCTCCGGTGGCCGGGGAGCAGCCGGGGATCGAACCGGTGTCACAAAGGCCGCGGGCAGCTTCGCAACCCAGCGCTCAACCGCTGCGCCACTGGGGAGGCCCGCTTTTTACTTTTTAAGATCATAATAACATAATCACAAATGGATCCAGACAGATTTTACAGCCGGTCTATTTTAAGGAAGCTGAACAGTGACCTACCAGTTAATGTACTTTCACATGTTAGACAATAGTCTTAGAGTTAGGGGGCCTCCCTGGTGGTGCAAGGGATTAAGCAATGCACTATGAAGCAATCCGCAGCCTCTGCAGCATGAGTTCGCTCCCTGGACAGCCAGGGAGCAACCCACATGGCTCAGCAGACCTCTCCTGACTCGCCCGCTGCTCCCCTCAGCAGTGTACTTCGGTCAATCTGCCTGTTCTGTTCCCCACTCTGTCTTTGGTGAATCCTCTCACCCCCAGCATCTCTGGCCTGTACCCCAGCTCTTGTATGCATAAATAAATAAATCTTTTTAAAAAATAGTCTTAGAGTTAGGATCAAATGGCAAACCACAAAGGAAACCATTTTGTTTTAAGTAAATCTCACACTTAAGGTAGCTTTTGCAGTTCAGCAAGTTAATCCTATCTTCCCGGCCTCCTATGTAGATAATTAATGTGAATGGAAAGGAGAGATGACTGTATCTAGGCCTAATTCTTTGGACCTGAAGTCATTTGCAAAAATGAAGTTGTAGAGGAAAGAGAGATGTTTGTTTCTTTAAGATCTGAGCCGGGAGAAGACTGTTTTCATTTATAACCATTCAAAAATACATCACCAAAGTTAGTAGTGATATGGAACGACTGGAAAACAAACACTAAAATGGAAATCAAAGGAACTATATGATTGATTTTTTAAGGATTTATTTGTTTATTTATGCATAGAAGAACTAGGGTCTAGGCCAGAAGTGTGGGGGTGAGAGGATTCACCAGAGACAGAGTGGGGAGCAGAACAGGCAGATAGACCGAAGTACACTGCTGAGGGGAGCAGCGGGCGAGGCAGGAGAGGTCTGCCACACCATGTGGGTTAGCTCCCTGGCTGGGGATTGAACTCATGCCACAGAGACTGGTAACAGCTTGATAGTCCTGAGACTTTAACCCCTGCGCCCAGATCCAAATGAGTCCACTTCCTATACAGTTTATATATCATGGTGCCTAATACAGTGACTGGTATCTGCAGATTATATAATGATACATAAAGATTTTCAAGCAGATGTATTCTTATGACACTGGATTGTGGCAGAAACTGTTTCACTTTTTATAATTGTTTGTAATGATTTTACAGTTTTTTTACTAATATACCCCAGCCCCAGTAACACAGTGAGGTCAGTACCATAATGGTATCACTGACTTGAGTAGGGAAGAGGAGGGAGAATATTTAAAAATAAGGTGAAAAGTATCCTCAAAGAAGTATCATTAGCATATCAGTAGAGCATATGAAATGATGCTGCAAAAATAGTCCCATCCTTCAAAAAGTCCTGGATTAAGTGAGTCTGTAAAAAGATAGGGTTTAAACTATTTCAAATTTAATATGGATTGGGAATTCAAGTGTTCCCACTATAAGGAATTAACTTTATTGGGCCCACTAACTAAAGAAGTCCTTGAAAGGGGGCTGCAGGTGGGCTCCTTTCAATAGAAGGTCTGGGGAAAGAAACAAATTGTGAATAGACTCTTGAAGAAAATAGTTTCATGGTGAGAGGACTTAGGAGCTGATACATGTAAATGGATAGACGCAAAGGAGAGGTAAGCATTAAGCCAGAGCATCACAGCAGAGATACAGAGAAGAAATTGCAGTGGTTGTATGAAATGCTCAGAAGAGATGATAGAGTCTCCTGGAATTTGTATTAAACTTAATTTGGCAAATACTACTGACTACTCATTCTATCTGGTTGCTGCAAGGAGAATAAAAATAGAGTCCCTGCTCCTAGGAAGTGATTAACAAAAGAAAAAAACATACTTTTATTATAATGTAAAATATTTTTTAAAAATCAGAGAAGAACAACGCATAGTGAGAATGTAAAAATGACATTCATGTTCACTTGAAGGATAAGATAAAGTTTTGTGGAGGGAGGGTTGCTGGACTCTGGGAGGGATTTTGGCATGTGGAGATACTGAATGTTGCAAACAAAGAGGACAGTTTGAGTAGAAATAGGGATGGGCAAAGAGCTAGGTTGGTCTTGGACTGTAGTTAAGTAGGTATGATGAGTTTGAAGAAGAGTTATTTTGGAAGTCCTTATATATAAGATGGAGGAGTTCTATTCATTCTGCTAACAATGGACAGCAACTATACATTTTGAACACAAAAGCAAATGATTTAGAGCTGTCAAAGAGCTTTGGGAAGACTCATCTGCTCTTAGGTAGTTAGAGAGACAGAAAGGGAAGAGGAGACTTAGGATGTTGCTGTGGTTCAGGTAAGAGCGCAAGGGGTTAAGACGCAACCGATGAAGCTGTCTGAGGCCACTGCAGCACAGGTTTGATCCCCGGCCAGGGAGATACCCACATGGCGCAGCAGACCTCTCCTGTCTCACCCACTGCTCCCCTCAGCACTGTATTTTATCTTATTTTATTTTTTTTTTAAAGAGTTACAAGTCATTTTCATTTTTTTTTTTTAAAGATTTATATATTTATTTATACAAGCACTGGGTACAGTCAGAAGCGCGGGAGGGTGAGAGAATTCACCAGAGCCAGAGCAGGGAGCAGAGCAGGCAGAAGGACCGAAATACACTGCTGAGGGGAGCAGCGGGCGGCAGGAGAGGTCTGCGCGCCATGTGGGACCCTCTTCCGGTGGCCGGGGAGCAGCCGGGAATCGAACCGGCGCTGCAGAGGCCGCGTGCAGCTTCGCAACCCAGCGCTCAACCAGTGCGCCACCGGGGAGGCCCATCACCACTGTATTTTAGTCAATCTGCCTGTTCTGTTCCCTAATGTCTCTGGTGAATCCTCTCACCCCCCCACACCTCTGGCCTATACCCCAGTTCTTGTATGCATAAATAAGTATTTTTTTAAAAAGAGGTCTTGAACTAGATAGGGGGATGGATCACAAAGACACTGATGAAGGAGAAACAAAGATTTGACAACTAGTTGGATGTGGGTGACAGGATTAGAGATGATCTAGTGATATTGTGTTTGGATGCCTGGGAGACTGGTAGTATAATGCAAAATGAATAAATATTTCACAATTCTCAAAAACACTCTAGGGAAAGAAATGGGAGATGAAAAATATGTATTAAATATAAACTCACCGTTGCTGATTCCTCCAGAGAGCTAATTCTTTTCTCTGACTATTCCGGTGTCCTCTGGTACTCTAGAATCCTCTTGTCCTTCTGGCTTGTTAAGAGAGGAGTTAATACAATTCTTTTTAGCTCTTAAGATGTTAACTCTTTGTAGATCAGAGCTTGAAGGCTGTATTTTTTCTCTATGCATGTTGTAGGTGGAGTAGCTAAAAAATTCCTTAACATACCATCTTCTCAACTAAAACTAAATCTGAAAACAAATTTCTTTGATTTGAGATAAACAGAATTTGTTTAAATCTCCTCCTGAAAGGTAACAATAGTGGGAGACTGTCTGGAGCCTTGAAATCTCTTTCATGAGAACAAATTCTGATTTATTGGTGGGGTCAACAGATCTGCTTAATCATGTGCCAGAATCCTCTCAACTAAAAGAATGTACAGTTGCTCCATGAAGAACACAGGTTTGAACTGCACAGATCCACACATATGCAGATTCTTTTCATTTCGATAAATGCAGTACAGTGCTATATATGTATTTTCTCTTCCTTATAATTTTAACACTTTTTTTAAATATTTATTTATTTATTTGTTTGTTTGTTTGTTTGTTTATTTATGCAAGCACTGGGTACAGTCAGAAGCGCGGGAGGGTGAGAGAATTCACCAGAGCCAGAGCGGGGAGCAGAGCGGGGAGCAGAGCAGGCAGAAGGACCGAAGTACACTGCTGAGGAGCAGCGGGCAGCAGAAGCAGGAGAGGTCTGCGCACCATGTGGGACCCTCCTCCGGTGGCCGGGGAGCAGCCGGGGATCGAACCAGTGCTGCAGAGGCTGGGGGCAGCTTCACAACCCAGCGCTCAACCGCTGCGCCACCCGCTGCGCCACCGGGGAGGCCCTGATTTTAACACTTTCTTTTCTCTAGCTTACTTATAATATGGATAACATACAAAAATATGTGTTGACCGACTGTTTGTTATTGGTTAGGCTTCTGGTCAACACCAGGGTATTAGTAATTAAGTTTTGGGGGAGTCGGGCCACCCTGTGGGCACAAGGGGTTGGGTTGCAGCGCTGGGGGAGTCGGGGAACCCTGTGGGCACAAGGGGTTGGGTTGCAGCGCTATGAAGCTATCTGCAGCCACTGAGTTCAATCCTGGACCAGGGAGCTATCCACGTGGTGTAGCAGACCTCTCCTGTCTTGCCTGCTGCTCCCCGCAGCAGTGTATATCAGTCAGTCTGCCTGTTCTATTCCCAACTCTGTCTCTGGAGAATCTTTTCAACGCCCCCTGCACCTCTGGCCTGTACCACAGTTCTTGCATGCATAAATAAATCTTTAAAAAAGAGTTCTGGGGGCCTCCCTGGTGGCGCAGGAGGTTGAGCACAGCACTGTGAAGTTGTTCACAGCCTCTGCAGCACGGGTTTGATCCTGGCTGGGGAGATAACCACATGGTGCAGCAGACCTCTCCTGTCTCACCAGCTGCTCCCCTCAGGAGTGTATTTCTTCAGTCTGCCTGTTCTTTTCCCCGCTTTGTCTCTATTGAATCCTCTCACCCTCCTGCATATCTGGCCTGTACCACGGTTCTTGTATGCATGAATAAATAAATCTTAAAAAAAAAAAAGTTTTGGGGGAGTCAAAAGTTATGCATGGATTTTTGACTACACTGTATTGTTCCATTTATATGGATATCTTCCATTTCACTGTGTCTCCAGTTTCCAAACCAAACATTGGAATGTAAGTATGCAACAATAGGATTTGATGTTTGAAAACGAGATCTTAAAATTAGTTCCTAAAAATTCTACAGGCTGGTACCTGCATTCATATTAGATGTTAAGAGAAATAGGGTCTCAACTGTTAACATGAAATTCTTTCTTATGCACTTCTGTGCACCAGGAAAGTTGAGAAGTGCAGGTATTCCCAGGAAGGTGAATATATGTTTAATGGGCCATGTATGATCTCCCCTATATCCTATGAAATAATAAAGTGTTGGAGACAATGAAAGTATAGAAATTATCCAGAACATATATATTTTCAATAAAAACAGTACAATCCAAATATTATTTTCCCAGATCTGCATCAGATTGCTTCTGGTCCAAACTATTTCACAATGAATCTTCTACCTTCTCTCCTTTTTTGGATGAAATAACCAGAAATTGTGGTGTGTAAAATTTTGAAGCAGGCCAACTTTGTGTTTGGTCATCTTGTTCTTTCTTTTCTGAATTGTGTTGATTTTTAAAAACATTTCCTTCTAAACCTACACTCCCATGCTTACTGCAGCACCATTTACAATAGCTAAGATATCAAAACCACCCAAATGTCCAAAAACAAATGAATGGATCAAGGTGTGGTATATATACACTATGGAATACTATTCAATAATCAAAAAAGATACACTCATGCCATTTGCAGCAACATAGATGGAACTAAAAGGGATTATGTTCAGTGAAATAAGTCAGAAGGAAAAAGAAAATATCAGATGGTTTCACTTATAGGAGGAATATAGGAAAATTGAACAAAGGCTCAAAAAAAAAAGAAAGAGACAAAACTTGCAAAATATAGATCTGAGGCATATAGCAGTGGAAGGGGAGGGAGAGAGCACAACAGAGTAGGTGATGGGTGATGTGGTGGTGGGAGATTTATGGGGATTGCATCTGAGGGGAGAAATCAAATATTGTATAAAAATTAACAACAATGTAAGAAAATAAAAAAGTTTAATCAATAAAATTTTTTTCAGAACTATTTCAAAATAATGTAAGTGTCACATACAAAAATTTTTTTCTATCACTTTCAGACAACTAGTTGCCTCCTGTTTTTTTCCCTTGACATCCTATTAACCTTAGAGATAATTCACTAGGTTTTAATGTACTCCTAAATGTGGAATAAAAGGTCTGATTCCATGATAAAGGAGTCTCAGTCATTGAGGGGTTGGAGTATAATAACATTTCTCTGATTACAAAAGAAATACATGTTCATGGTACACATGAACAGAAAAGAAAAAAAATGAAATGTATTAGTAATCCTATTACCTGCAGAGAACTATTGTTTTTTGATGTGCAAGCATATAAACTATTTGAAATAAAATTAGAATCACTTATCTTTTAAAATTTCTCAAAAGTGGTAAAATACACATAACATTTACTATCTTAACCATGTTTAAATATATAGGAGTGCTAATTATAGTCATATTATTGATCAACCAAAGAAGCTCACCCACAAGCTTTTTTGAATGGAGATATACAAAGAAGCAAGTAAAAATCATGGTAGAGAAATTTTATTACTGGTAGACAGTGTTAACATTTGGTGATCTCCCTTTTCCCTTTCCCGGGCCCTGTTCTTTCTGTTCCTATGGATTTAACTACTCTAGATGTTTTATTTTTAGAAGTCTGTACTTTTCATTAACCAACATATAACAAAGAGTAAACATTTAAAAAATACTAAATAGTCTACATTTTATTTTTATTTATTTATTAAAAAGATTTATTTATTTATGCATACAAGAGCTGGGGTACAGGCAAGAGATGCAGGGGATGGGGTGAGAGGATTCACCAGAGACAGAGTGGGGAGCAGAACTGGCAGATCTACTGAAACACACTGCTGAGGGGAGCAGCCGGTGAGCCATGCGGGTTCGCTTCCTGGCGGGGGATTGAACTCATGCTGCAGTGGCTACAGATAGCTTCATAGTGCTGAGACTTGCTTGATCCCTTGCACTACCAGAGAGGTCTTACTTACACAATTTAATAAGGTTTTGATTGCTCTTTAGGATTCCTGTAAGAAGGAAATTCAAATTATCTCTTCTACCTTCCTCACATCTGCCAATTCAAATGCATGCTACCTAGTGATTTACCTTTTTCTTGATGTTATTGTCCCTAATTCAGCATTTCTTCAGTTTTCTATTCTTTGACCCCAGGCTATTCTATTCTTACCACTCCCCAGAGGTAACGGCAGTCAGGTATCTTTGGAAAATAAGGACGTGAGCAAGGGAGTATGTTTTTAGGCTTTAGGCATTTGAATATAAATTGAGATGACAAAAAGGCAGTAATCTGTGAGTGGAGTAGTGAAGATAAGAGTAAATTTAATTGGCACTGTTCCTTAGACATTAAGAAAGGTCTCCAAAATTGTGTTTAAAAAAAGTCCCTGGGTAGCTCTTTCCCGCTATCTGTGCCACAATTTTCTGTGCCACAAAATGGTACACATTATGCCAACATCAACTTTTGGCATCAACAATGCCAAAAAGAGAGGCAAATGTCATGCTACAAAGCCAAGGTCTGGTTTCTATATGTGATGATGAAGCATGGTTACATTGGCAAATTTGAAATCTTTGCAGATCACAGAGCTGGAAAATTGTTGTGAACTTCACAGTCAGGTTAAACAAGTGTGGAGTGATCAGCCCCAGATGTGATGTAAAACTCAAAGATCCAGAAAAATGGCAGAATAATCTGCTCCAGTCTCTGCAGTTTGGGTTCATTGACAACTTTAGTTGGCCATGATGAAGCAAGACAAAAACATACAAAGGGAAAATCCTGGGATTCTTTTTCTAGGGATTTAATATACATGTGCTAACAAAATGCTTTAATGGACAGAAAAAATTTTTTCTGGATAAATTTTATAATGATCAGTTATGTGAAAGATAATTACAATGTGAAACAAATGATTTTCATATTTCAAAGGATGTAGGCCAGAGGGTTCACATAACATTTTTATAATATTTAGATGTTTAATTATAGGTCAGTTTCTACCATTGCTCTGTAAAAAAAACACTAATTATGAAATATAAGACTTATCAACTGCAAAGCCCTTTGTAAGCTGCACAAAGATTAGCCTAATGAAAAAATTAACAGAGGATAAAATCTTGTTCTTCAGAGCCAGAAGGAGAACAGATGGCAAGTGTGTTAAAGAAGGCTTACCCTACAAGAAGCCAGATTCAGGTCATTGTGAGGATGAAAATTAGAAGAGGAACAAAGACAAAGGAAAAGATAGAGAAAATATTTAGAAGGATGGGGAAAATAAGAAATTGAGAAATAAATAAGTCATTTATTTTCACAATATCTTCCTGAAGGAATAGGGGCCTATATTACATAGCTCTCACAACATCCTGTTACTTATCTTTAGTAGCATTTAATA